AAAAACCATTCCAACAACACCCTGTAAAAGTTCGTAAAACAGGTTAACAACAAGCATAAACAGCGGAAAATTGGGTAATGCTGCTGTTAAAATAGCATAACAACATGTCATGAATTACAAATATAGTGTAAAGCTCTCTGCCACCTTCATGATAAGTACACTATCAGTCACTCTCTCTACACCCTTGAGAATCTACTAAAAATCAAATCGAAATCGACACCAAGCAAATGCAGAACAGGCTCCTCTCAAAATTACAGCAATTAGAAACCTAACAGCTAAATTAAGCTCACAATCAAAGAAAATATTCACCTTATAACGGGATGCCAAATCCATATCTCTTTAGCCACGAAAAATCACCTGAAACAACATAAATCGAGAAATTCACATTTCACACCAAAATTGAAGCAGAAGCAATGCAAATCAACATAAAAACGAAGAATCAGACTACAAAACCCTAGAACTTCAAAATTTATCACACACAGAGGGAAAACAGAAATTGAAAATGGAGAGAATCGAACAGCTTACACAGACTTATGTAATACGAACAAGATCAAAACAAGGAAGATGAAATCTCCAGCCAATGGAACCGTTATAGATCGCAGCGATCTCTTCTTCACAAGAGTCTCTCTTTTTTTTTTGTTCACCTGACCGATCTGTTCAAGCAAAGTCAGAAGAGCTGATAAACCGTTCGATCGTCACGATGAAATTGTTTTTTTGTTTAAAGGGTGAGAGAAGAAGATCGATGATGTACTGTACTCATGCCCGCACTAGATAACTAGCTCTTGTGAGATTAATATTTATTAATGTCTATTGAGATTATATGATGCTCTAATATAGGCCCATTTGAGTCTAGTGGGCTTTAAGCCTAACCAGTAACCAGTCCAGTTCAACTGTGGAAGTTTTTTTAGTGGATGATTGTGTTATGCTTATAGTTGATGTTCAAAAAAATGGTTGGGGTAATAGGCGTGGGCATAAAACCCGAAATCCGAAAACCGATCCGAAAAATCCAGAACCGAATCCGAACCGAATAGTCACAAAATCCGAACGGATAATGAATTCTCCTATCCGAATTACCCGAACCGAACCCGATCCGAACCGAAAACCGAAAGGATATCCGAAAACCGGAAATAAAAATTCTATATCCAAAAATATTAGTTATATTTAGTTGTAATTTTATAGCAAATTACAAAAATATCCTAAATATCCTAGATTTCGGAAAAAAAATTAGTTATATTTGTTAAAATTATACATATTTTTACAAAATTTAACCAAATTTTAGTAAGATTAAAACCAATTTTTATTAACATTGAACTATTTTTAAGTTTTCTTTTTCCCAAAAACCGATCCGAACCCGACACCTATCCGAACCGAAACCGAACCGATGACTCATAAAATCCGAACGGATAATAAATTCTCCTACCCAAATTATCCGAATCCGAATATATCCGAACCGAAACCGAACCAAAAAATCATAAAATCCGAACGGATAATAAACTCTCATACCCGAATTATCCGAATCCGAATATATCCGATCCGAATCCGATTTGAAATCCGAATGCCCAGGCCTAGGGGTAACTATGCGTTCGATAGGGATCTATCGTCTAAACTCTAAAGCGAATTTTTTTTTTCCGTCAAACTCTAAAGCGATTAATAAGGGTCTAGACGTTAAAAAATTATTGATTTAATTTGTATATGTTTAGATTTTATATATTACTAGTTATATAGCATCGATTTTGAAAAGAAAACTAACAATGTATTCACTTATTTCAAATTTAAACTTAAATTTAAATTTAACATAGAAAAACAAATCAAATACCATAAAGTTCAACCCAAAAACAAAAAATCAATTAAAAAAATTTTAAAAGTTAAAAATCAAGATAATCAGTTGAATCTTTTTTCTTGGACAAATCAGTTGAATCTTTTTGTATCGACCTTTTTAGTTAAATGAAGTCGTATTGTGACTAAGCATTAAAAATAAAAAATTTAATCAAATATGAAATCAAAAGTTAACCGATTTGATAAAACTTCTTTTGGTTAAGACCGCCTAAACGGCACCTAGAACGATTTTTGAACATTACTTATAGTGTTTTCAACTCAAATATTGGCAATTATCAATATCTAACTAATAAAATAAAATAAAATACACGTATAGAGTTGACAAAATATAAAAATAAAGGTCACTCAAGTAGCACATAGTCAACAAAATTCAATGGTCAAGAAACAAGATTTGAATTGAACCAATCGATAAAAGGTAGAGTTTGAATAATTATACACTCGCTTACTTGTATAAGAATAGGAAAGATAAACTAATATAACAATGATAATGATCTAATAAGACGTTGTTAATTAATCCGTGTGTAAATGGTTAGGCAGTTGAAGATCCGAGTTTTATAGCGTAAAGTCGTACAGATTTTAGATTCGACCACTTCAGACAAAGATGATATATTTGTAACCACTTCATGAATTCATTTTAGGCCGAATGTTTTATCTGGGATAGGTTTGCGGAAAACTCATGCCTAAAAAAAAAGAAGAAGAAGAAGAAGAAGACATCGTTAGTGACAGAGACTTGTGTTTACCTATGGCACGTAAAGTCGTCTATGTTTACGTATTTGTATCCAATGCGTCACTTTACATGTTATGAGTTGATTGGATGAAGATGTTGTGGTCGAACATAAAAAACTGGTTAATGTAAAAAAGTAATATCCATAAGGATTCATTGGTGACAAGGTTTAGTCATTTTTAAATGTATAATAACGATCGATGCATTTTATAGCTAGCGATCAATGGACTTAATTGTTCAAAAACAAATACTACTATATGTTAGTCTCTAACACATAGAATCATTATAAACTGTTCTTTTTTTTTTACATCAAAAACTGTTCAATTGGCATACATACGGATATTAAAGGATCCATGTAAAGCCCAATATAGTGTCTCATGAATAGTCAAAAGCCCATGTAATGGTCCATGTAACTAGGGTTCTTAGCAAGATAGTGACTCATATATATAGTCATGTAATGAGAACTTTGATTGTAACCTAGAGAGTTGCCACATTAAGCTTATATTTACTAGTTTATATAACTTCCAATATTTAACGTAATTTGAAATTTATAAACCATAGAGAGTTTTGGATGTAACTTGCTTTAAGTTTAATCAAACCCTTTAACAAAAAAAACTTGCTTTAAATTTTCTGGCTTGTTATTACAAGACCATTGCAATTTTTTATTTTTCACACATGACATTAATATGAAAGTTAAAAGTTTGAAATATTTCTAGGCCAAGCCTAAACGAAAACAATCACAACTAATAATATAGTGACGGGAATAAACGAATATGCTTTGAAAATGAAGTGTCCAAATAAATCCAATTTGAGTGGTAATACATCGCTCGGGATGAGGCATGTTCGTTGCACGTCTTGAAGACTCTTTATTATTTTTATTAAGAAGATACACTTTGAAAGTAATATAATAAATAAAGTTACATCATCCACACATGTTATGTGTATACACGTAATTGGATTATTCGATTGATTCTATGCTTTTACTTTTCCATCAGTTAGGCCATAAGCGACGACGACAAGATTGCACATGTCTATTGCACATATTCAACATTAGTTAAGAACTTGTACCACACAAATATGTGTGATGTTCAGTTTGGTGGATTTTCATGTTCGAGTCTTTGTCTATATAATGACAAGCCCGAATGGCCGGCCTTCTCAATGTATTTGGAAGACTTGAAGAGTGACAAGGAAGAATTCTCAAATTTTTCTTTATCTTTAATTCCGCGTAGCGCAAATGTAAAAGCGGATAATTTGGCACGAAAAATTCGTACTGAACCGCATCATATCACTTATGTAAACAACATTCCCCAGGAATGGCTCTTTTGAGCATCTATTTTATTTAAGCTGTTGACAAAAAAAAATAATAATAATAATGACAAGCCCGGTTTTGTATGAACGACCCGTCCATATTATGTGCCCTTGTTTCACTTCTCCTACATTGTGAAAAACTGAAAATATAGATTGCTCGAAAAGAAGATGTAAGCTCTGTCTGATCTAAAGTTTTAGGGACTGATGTAGGATCGCAAACGCTTGTGGTTTCTCCGGACCTAATTTAAACCCGTCTCTTCGCTTTGATGATTTCTTCTTCATAAAGTTGATGCTCTATCTTAGCTTGTCAATTTTGTTGGTCTAGCACTTTGTGATTTTCTGTTTTTGTTGTTGTAAATTTCATGTTTTACAATATAATCTAATTAACATATCGCTTAGTAACTCGCAGTGTTCAAGAAAGCGCTAGGCGCTAAGCGGGCGGTGATCCAACGCCTAACGCCTAGAACGCCTAATCGGTGCCTAGGCGGTTTAAGCGTTTACATCATAACACATTATAAATATAATATTATACATAAAAATTATGTAAAACTATCTGTTAAAAATATAAAAATCTTAAATCGAAACAAAAATTAGAATTTTTTTTTATTTAAGTCATATCAAACACAATATATAGAACTAAAATTTATATTTTAAAGCGGTCGAAGCGGTTTTTTAGACGTCACCTAAACGGTAAGTGCCTAGCGTCTGTCTAAACGACTGCGTAGACCTCTTTTTAAAACACTGTTAACTAATTCGATAACCATGTTTTATTAAACCGTGATTATCGGTTGGACCCGAATTTGACATGAGTTAATCTGACCCAACGTCTCACAAAACACAACGACTGAATCACACACATTGCCATTTAAGTAAAAATCACTTTGTGGGGTTGTCAAAAACAGTGTCGTTTTCGGGTTAAAATCGACAAAACGGCTCGTCGTCACTCGCGATGCGTTGGCACTTACCGTTAATTAAAATTCACATAGCATCAGCCACAAAACGTCGACTCACCACGTTTGCAAACCCCACGCGTCAACTAAAACTTCAACCGTAGGATTTCATTACTTAAATCCAACGGTTTTAACGCGTTTCTAAAATCTGAAACGCTGAAACAGAAAGTTTCTTCGTAAAGTCGAAAACCTTTAAAAAAACTCCGATTCTATTTTTCATTTCTAATAATAATAATTTAATATTCTTTTTAGGTTTTTCTTGTGGAGAACATTAAAAACGAAATCTAGTGTTTATTTATCGCCTTTTGTCTTTTCGGATTACGAGATTCCCATTACTTTTAATTCCATTCATTTTTTTTTTCTTTCTTCCACACAGATTTTGAGAAAAAAAATTCGTGAGGAGTTAGAAATTTCCTATATCTCCGTTTCTGGGTTTTTTTTTTCTTTCTTTCAATTTACAATTTTTTTTCTGGGTATTAAATTTTGGGATTAAACGTTTGCATTAGACGAATCCTGAATTGTTCTCGAGGTCAAAATCATGTCCGATGGATACAACAATTCGAAGAAGACAGATGATATTTGCGAAGATGTTTGTGGACAGGTTTGATTATTTTTACACAACTGAAAATTATAGTATTATTTTTCTTATTGAAATTTCTCTTTTTGAAATCGTTTTTCTGCAAAATTCGTTATGCCCTCTGAAAAAAATTGTAAATTTTTGAAGAAATTTAATCGCTAGAGCTTTTTTGGGGTTTATAATTCACCGAAAAAGATTCAAAATTTCATAAACATTATTGACGATAAATTATGAAAGCTCTTTTCTTTTGTCTAAAAGAAATGATTTTTAATTGGTCAGATTGTTTTCTGTTGCTTGAAAAAATCTTTGAATTTTTCCTACACTAATATATAAAGTAACAATTTTTAAAATTGATTTTATCTTTCTTGATGTTATTGTTAAATTGTTTCATCTCTTATGAATTGTTTTTTAATTTTGCAGGGATCAAAAGCAGCAAAAACAATCTCAAGGCTTAAATGTGTTCTTAAAGGTTTTGACTTAAGAACATACTTGTTTCTCTTTGTGTTGATGCCATTTGGTATCTTAGCAATTTATTTACATGGTCAAAAGTTCACTTATTTCTTTAGACCACTTTGGGAATCACCTCCAAAGCCGTTTCAGACCATTCCTCATTACTATAATGAGAATGTAACAATGGAAGCTCTTTGTAGTCTTCATGGTTGGGGAACTAGAGAATCGCCGAGACGGGTTTTCGACGCGGTTTTGTTTAGTAATGAGAAGGATCTTTTAACTGTTAGGTGGAAGGAGCTTTATCCTTATGTGACACAGTTTGTGATTCTTGAATCGAATTCGACGTTTACGGGTTTGCCTAAACCTTTGGTTTTTAATAGTAATAAGGATCAGTTTAAGTTTGTGGAGCCGCGGCTTACTTATGGGACGATTGGTGGACGGTTTAGGAAAGGTGAGAATCCGTTTGTTGAAGAAGCGTATCAGCGTGTTGCGTTGGATCAGTTGCTTAGGATTGCTGGCATTGAAGAGGATGATTTGTTGATAATGTCGGATGTTGATGAGATTCCGAGTGCTCATACGATCAATCTTTTGAGATGGTGTGATGATATTCCTCCGGTTCTTCACCTTCAGCTTAAGAATTACTTGTATTCTTTCGAATACTATGTCGATAGCAAAAGCTGGAGAGCATCTATACACCGTTACAGTCCAGGGAAAACGCGGTATGCTCATTTCCGTCAGAGCAATGTTATGTTAGCAGATTCAGGATGGCACTGCAGCTTCTGTTTCCGTAATATAAGCGAGTTTATATTCAAGATGAAAGCTTACAGTCACTCGGACCGTGTCAGATTCTCTCATTACCTGAATCCGAGGAGGATTCAAGATGTTATTTGCAAAGGAACTGATTTGTTTGATATGTTACCTGAAGAGTACACATTCAAGGAGATTATCGGCAAAATGGGACCTGTACCTCGGTCTTATTCAGCGGTTCATCTTCCATCATACCTACTGGATAACGCCGAGCAGTACAAATACTTGTTGCCCGGTAATTGCATAAGAGAAAAACAGACAGGGTTTATATGATGATCGCATTGAAAGTGTTATTGTATAGTTCTAAGCTTCAGGGCCTTTGCATCATCCTTGAGATAAAAAGAGCAAAATTTTGTGCGAAAGAGAAGAAATTGAAGAACGTAACGCCATGATTTGTATTTGATACTTCGCCAGAAAGCGTATATAACCCGTCAACCCGAGTGTTGGATATTTCAGCGATTTCTTTTGATACAGGAGGGTTTGTGAGAACAAAAAGAGCTTACTTTGTGTTAACAGCACGACACTTCCCAGGTTTTTTTAGCAATGGGAAAAAATGTTGTTGCCTAAGGCTGATTTGGTAATGTAGTATAGATGTTTCAGGATTCATTTGTTTATATAACAATTTTCTTCGCTGTTCGTTGTTCTGATTTTAGTTCTGGTTATATCAGTTACTTGATTATTCTTGTTCAGTTTCCATTTATCTATTAAGTCTTCTTTACTCTGATCATTTTTGACACAGTTTCTTGCTTCCATGTTTTCTCTGCAAAAAGTTTTCTTCTTTTCAAGTTTAAGCTGTGTTGTTATTGTAGTTTCAGATTCTGGATTGTTCTAAGTTTATCTCTTTCTTTAAGGGTATTTTTGGGGTCAAGCAATACTGAGAAGATGCTGATGAATTACTTTTTTGAATGCCAACTTAGCAATGATCAAGAAGCAAAAAGTGGCAAAAAGAATCCTTTGCTTTCAAGTTAAATTGTTAAATGTGTTATCTTCAAAAGGAACCTTGCTCTAATCTGCCATGTGTCTGTGTTATTCATGAAACTGCTTTGAACAGATTCTCTTTTAACTTCAAAGAGGAGGTTACCTTATTGAATACGTATAATCTCATAAAGCCAATCTCAAAAGTGGACTTTTACAATTTCGTAAAGCATTTTAAGGCAATTTAAACTTTTACTGTTTCTTTTCATACAAATCATCTTAATTTGCCACTAATACCATAATCTGAATTACAAATGCAAAGAACAGAATTTGCCTAATCATGTTCTTTATCTTTCACTGAACCTAACAATAGATAGATCAGCCTTCAATATTCAGACCAGAGTTTAACATCTTTCAGTTCTCATTTAATAGTTAAGCGCCAATGAAGACAAATAACAATATCAGAAGCTCTGCGATCTCGTAGTCTTCATATCTAATCACTATCCCAATCCTCGTCCGTCTGCTTTCCACTCTTAGTCTTTGAATTATTGATACCATCTCTTGAACTATTGTTCCTGAATCTCGGTTGTTTAGATGATGATGCTGATATCGTTCTGTTTTCATCCTCGTCATCATCACTGCTCGAAATGTAATTAGCCGGTGGTGCATCTTCTTCATCTTCTGAATCCCACATTGTGTTATCAAGATCACTCAATACATCGTCATCACTTCTCACTTGAGGTCGAAGTCGAGGATCGGGGCTTCTTCTCTTAAAATCCTCCCTCGGCCTTCTTGTGTTTGTGTTTGATGATCTTGCTCTATCAAATCTCTTTGGAATTTCATCATCCTCAGAATCCAATTCACCGTCATCATCTTCATCACTATCCTTGGGTCTCGTCTGGCTACGTGGATCCCTTTCATTTCTTCTAAAGCCATGACTTGCATCTCCATAACTACGCAATTCAGGTGTTCTGCTTCTTCCTGCAAACTCTTCTCGGTTCCAATACCTTATCCGACCAGCTTCTTCTTGCTCTGCAGCTTCCTCTTCCTCCCATTCCTTGTCTGCTGCTTCTTCTATCTCAGCTATGAATCTATCTAGCTCCTCCTGGTCACTATCTTCATCGCCTGGTTCTGATTCTTCTCTATTGTCAACACTAGCGCCTCGTTCTGATTGTTTATCTCCATGGAAGACATACGGGGTTCCTTCCTTTTTGTCGATTGCATTGAAAAATGTTGAGGCCACTCTCTGGATGCTAGCCATGGCAACCGGATCTTCAGGGTTAACACCCATTCTCCGTAGCTGCTGTTCTGTTTTCTTTATGTTCAGCTTCTGAGATTCAAGCGCTTGTTCGAATCTCGCTTTGAATAAAGCCTGCAAAACATAAATACTTGTTCATACCATACCACTACAAAACAATTATTAGAGCAAGTCACACTTCAATGATTCACAAATCCTAAACCTAAAGATTGTCTGACTCAAAGATTTGGGCTTGGAGGATGTCGTTAAGAAACCTAAAGATTCCTAACGCGGATAGTCTAAATCAACCAAAGTCCAATTATTAAGACTAATATCAACTAAAGTATCATTCTTTAACCACATGATTCTCAATTTTAACAAAGAATCAAGAAATTGAAACTTTAAATTCAAAGATTTATACTGCTTTACCTTCCGTTTGGTAAGGGTGTTGACAGGGATTAGGTTCTTGGGCTGCCGGTAGTTTCTACCACGGAACATAATAATAGTTTTTACATTATGTATGTTAATGACTACCCCGCCGCTCAGTCTCGCTATCATGCTCGCCATCTCTTTAATCTTTTCCTTAGGGAAGTTATCGCAACAAACTTGCACAGTCTCATGAAACTTCCAGTGCATATGCATATTTTGTACCACTCCTCCAAAGACTCCACGAACACCAACAGGAACATAGTTTTTGTTCTTGAAACCGATTTTCTTGAACGCTTGAACCTGCTCGGATGTGAAAAGCTCGGGATCATGCACCGGAGATGGTAGCTCAGGAAGATCATACTTCTTAAGCTTTTGCAACAAAAGCGCAACTTTCTTCTTCGCCTGCATCAAAAGAATAGCAAAGAAAGGCACCATCAAATTCAACTCTCTGATACACTTCACCGCAAAACAACCATAAATAATCCAAATTATTTATACAAACTACACAGTCTCAAGTTTTCACAATAAACAATTACACATAAAGTCTCAAACTTTAACAAAATATGAACACAGAAGACAACTTCATGGATTAGTATCAATCAACATACCCTTTTGAGATTGTAAATGAGTCTTTCTTCATCAGTCATGAGTTTCTTCTTCAACTTCTTAGCTCTTCTAATCTCTCTTAACGTCTTACCAGACTCTTTCCTCATTCTACTCTCAACTTTGCTCCTCATACTCCTTCCTCTCGATGTTGACATAGCTCGATACCATCCCTTAAACACTTGATTCATCAACGGCTGAAACAAATTCGAATTACCTTCACTTGAGCTACTAATACTCGTAACAGAACTCGATGACAAAACCACTTTCCTTCAAGATCAAAAACCGAAAAATCAGATTATAAAGTTATAAACTTTGAGGGATTTAAACGAATCTAGGAGATGGGTATATTGTGAATCTCCATAATCAGTGAGAAAATAGGATCTGAAGTTAACCTGCAAGAAACGGATTGAAGAAGAGAAGATAAGGACCATTGACAAGTTCTTGAGCAGTGTCTCGAAAGACTCCTCGATGCAAACATCTGGCTTCTGCAACGAAGCTAGTAGCAGAAGAAGAAATGGCAAAAATTTCGAACAAGAGAGAGAATTTGTTAAAGGTCGTGAAGAAGGGAAGGGTTCGAGGGTTTTAGAAGACGATCCAAAATATTATATTTATATATTTGTTTTATCATGAATTAACAACAAAGTCGTTGTAGTATAGTGGTAAGTATTCCCGCCTGTCACGCGGGTGACCCGGGTTCGATCCCCGGCAACGGCGTATTTTGAGTTTTAATTCTTTTTTACATTTACTTAAATTTACCGATATGCCCCTAGCAGTAAGTGAAAACGTAAACATAAAGTTCCAGGCTTAATAATTTTTATACACGAACAATAAAATTTTTTTGTTACTGTGATCTAAATTCTAAGCTTAATAATACTTTCCTCTCGTTATTTTTACAGATTACAACCAAATATATTATAAATTTTTCATCTATGAGCAGCAGGAGAAGAAGCTTCCTTTTGTTTGTTTCTCTGATGAATCTGCCGTGTTAACGGTCTGACGAGAAACATCTCCGTCTCTGACAGACATCAGAGAGCATGTTCCGGGAGATTCCGGTGATAAAACTATGTTTTCTGAAGAGAAAACTCGTCGATTCGGTGGAGGAATGATCTGTGGTGCTGATGAAACAGTTGTGAGGTAACGGAGGAGCATTTGGATTATCTCTGTGAAATTTGGCCGTTCGTTAGGATCTTCTTTCCAGCATGAAGTGACAATCATCTCTAAGTCTCCTGGTAAATCTTCTGCACTCGGCCTCAAGTTCTATCGTAAAAACAAACACAAATTAGTCGCAATGCTGGTATCATTACTTTGAATTCAACGTCGCTACTGAATCAAATTTGTAACCAAGAAACGACCAACTTTGTGACAAGAATCAAAGGATCTTTCAAATAAGTAAAGATCAAATGCAGAGAGACCACTGCAGAGACACAAGGGTGTTCAAAGTTTCGGTTTTGGTTTCGATTTGTCGTTTTCAAGATTTTGATTTATGAAAAATAGTAGTAACCAAAGTAAAATTTACTCTAGTGTAGATGAGTATGCCAAAGTTTCAGGTTTTAGATTGAATTCAGTTTTTAATCAAATGTCTCATCAATTTTAGGTGCGGCAAAAAACCATAATCTGATTGGTTTTCTGGTCAAACTCCAAATAACTGAAACCAAAACTGATTTTTATGTAATCACACCAAACCAAACTCAGATCAGTCATCTTTCAGAATCGGTTTATATGGATTGAGAGGTGTGTTTTTACCTTGAATGCAGCAGCATAGGCTGCTTGTAGATTCGACATGCCTTCAAATGGTAACTTGTTGAGTATAAGTTCCCACAAGACAATGGCGAAGCTGTAAGCATCTACTTTATGGTTATAGTGTTTCTTCTCTCCTTGCCTTAACGTAACCGTACTATAAAGCTGTTTCATTCATTTACCAAGATGTCGGATAAGACAACCGCAGAAAAGAAAGAAAAAAAAATCCACTTTTAGTAGTAAAATAGTTACCTCTGGGGCCATCCATCGGTATGTACCAGTCTCTGCGGTCATCATCTCGGTTAATGATTCTTCTCTAGCTAAACCGAAATCAGCAAGTTTCACTGTCTTATGATCTGCTGATAAGATCAAATTCTCTGCAAATGCAATAAGATCATAAGGTTTCCGTATATACTTAGAAGTCACGGTTTTTATCTTCCGTCCTTTTCAATTTACCTGGTTTAAGATCGCGGTGAATGATTCCATGGGAATGTAAACATTCCATTGCACGAGCAATGTCAAGAGCAAATCCAACAGCCAAACGAATGTCTAAACGCTTTGGCCGTAAGCTCACTAGATATTTTCGCAATGTGCCACCTAGTAGAAGCTCGGTAACTATAACCATCATGGGTTCTTTGCACGCTCCAATGAACTATACAAAATCGATTTCCAAACGTTTTTTATTACAACCCGATACTCTGATTAGCCAAATGAACAGGATTGTATATAGGAAAAGAAAAAAGGCGAAACCTTGACCAAATTCTTGTGCTGGACTTTAGACAACATAGCAATCTCTCTCGCAAACCGGTTATCTCGTTTAGCAATCTCTTCAGGGGACTCTCCTCTTTTAATAATCTTAATCGCAACTGTTTGGTTTCTATACCTAAACAAAGAAAACACATTTTCAATCCATCACATCATCAACCATCTGCAGAGACAGAGAATCCACACAAAACCGATAATTTCGGGATAGTGATTCAAGATTAACACAAACAAACACTAACCTAAACATAAATACTACAAAGATTAAACCAATAAGCTTAATAAGTAACTGAATTAGACAATAAAAGATTCTCTTGTGTTTCATATACGCAAAGAGTTAAACTTTTTCAAGACTAGACAACAATTCTTCTAAACTCAAACAAAGTTCTAAAATTTCTCTGTAGAAAGCAATGATTAAAGATTAAAAGAGACAATCTTTAACTTTTGTTTCTTTGTATATGGATGATAATAAAGATTGAAGTCAAAGCTTACTTTCCCTCATAAACTTTGGCATGAGCACCTTCACCGATCTTAGGACCAACAAAGAGATGACGAGGATCAACAAGCCATTTAGGATCCAATTCAAAATCTTCGTTTGAGTAAAACCCACTTGCAGATCCCATTTTTCCACAAACCCAGAACAAAAAAACTTGAGATTTTTCACAAAACCCTAGTTAGCTAGAGAGAGAGATATGTCAAAGCTGGGCCCTTTTTGATTGATTAATCATTCTGTTTGGTATTGGAATTGAGAACTATACAACAATCAGATAGATAAAGAAACAAAGATGCTTTTTTGGTGGAATATAAAGAGAGAAATCAAGGATTCCCCATTAAAAATATAGAGAACACAGAATAAAGAAAGAAGAAGACGACAATCAAAATCAAAATCCTAATTCGTCAACTATAAAAAGAAAACAAAAAAAACTGCACGGAAAAGTTGGGAATTTGAGAGAGCGATTGGAGAAGAAGAAGAAGAAGAATGGGAAGAACTGAAGTTGACACTGGAACTGATGGAGAAATGGTCAAAACTTGATGATTCGTGTTGGTTTGGTTAAAGATTTTTTTTTCTAAAAAAGTTTCTTATTTTAGGGGTTTTTTTGGCTTTTGAGAAACAAGAAAATAAAAAAGAGATTAAAGAAATCGAAAGTTGTTTGCTTTTTCCGCGTAGGCGTCAGTGAGGTGACCAGAAATCTCTTATCTCTCGAAGAAATGCACTTACGGACGCGGAAGCACACCCACGGGTCTTTTTCATCCTTTTTTAGTGTTTTTCTTCTTCTAAAAAAAACAATCAAAACTATACTTATTTTTGTCATTAATTTTACTCTTGTTCAAATCAAATACACATATCTACATATACATTTTTACAGGGGATTTTTGCAAAAAGTCTTTTGGATCCGGGTTTTATCCGGGATTAACTCTATCCGGATCTTGGATAAGGAATTTTAGGAATGTTGTCTTAAAACCACATTAATTCTTAATTAACACCTAAATTGGAAATATATATAATATATCTAAACTAACCATATTTGTTATTTACCTTAACTACTTCTAACCATAATTATTTAACTATTTATTTCTATATAGAAAGAATATGTGATTAAAATAAATATTTTGTAAAATATTTATTTGGGAAAAAATTGTTCATACGAAAATAATTTATTTTGTTATAAAAATTAATATTTGTTATTTGTAATTAAATTACATAAATAATAATAATAATTTGTCTACACCATCAAATGAAAATAGTTAGTTATTTAATTTTTTATTTAATATTACGTAATTTTTAAAAAATAAATTCAACAATATAATGTCAATGGGTTTAATTCTAAAGATTTGAAAATATTAAAAAATATACTAACCAAAAATTATCTATCCTAATTTGTTTCTAACAATTTGGACACAAATCTTTCAAATCTTTCAAATTTAATGTGATCACATTTGTTACTAAAATCTCGATTATATTCCTAAAAATCTCGAGAAGATCTTCATTTAAATATGCAAATTATAATTTATGAATTAAATAAACTAACAATACGAATATTCCTAATATATTCGAGTACCATAACGAAATTAATTCTTTAATTAGACATATATTTTCGAAATTATCTTAAATGCTTATCATTCCAAAAATTAAATTGATTTCGAATATTTTCACAATCTAAATTAATTACTATAACATACTTTATCTCAACTATTGTTCCTAAAATCTTGCTTAAATCTCGATTTTAAAGAAACTAATTACTCTATATATATATATCGAAATAATTAGATTTGGATCCTTTCTTTATTTGAACGGTTTATCAAAATTATATTCCTATAATAGATTGTAAAACATTAATGCACTATTATGAGAATATGAATTTAAAGAAAAATCTTTGATATTAATACTCCTAATAAATAGCCGATTTTAATGGCAAAAATCTTTCATATTAATGCTTTCAATCCACCTAAAAGATATTATCCTAAAATGGTTAGGAATATATGTAGCATATTCTAGATTTGTGATAATTTAAAGATTTTCGAATATATCAACGCCTTGCTAATCAAGATTTTGGATATTCTCTAACACAAAACCCTACTAACCTATCATAACTCTATAAATACTTGATTGTTTCTACTATTTCTGAACACACAAAACACCAGTTGCATTCTTTAACTTTCCAATTTCTAATCTTAATGTGTTGTTTGATTTAATTTCTTGAAATTGGATTCGATTAAACTTTGAATTTTTGTTTCTAGGTTTAGAAATAAATCTATTTTGAATTTTCTACGTCAATCATTTTATGAAATTTGAGGAAAAAGATACAATTCTTTTTTTATATTCATCAATTCTTTTGTTCATATACATCGCTAGAGTCTTTGGATATTATTAACTTTTTTTTTGTTCGTGTGCAGATTCTTTGTGGTTGATCATGTTGGTGATGAGTTACGACTACTCTCAATGCTAGATGCTTTGGTAACAAGTTAATTTCTATATAATATGGATTTTCCACTTACAGATTTGGAATGTCAGATTTTGTGAGTTGAAAAACTATTTATGTTTCAAAGTGTATATCTAAGCTATACAAAAGAAGTATATTTGACATCTTTTTCTCTTTTTATATTTGAGACTGTAGCCATTAAGAGTATAAAATATCTGCAAAAGATGAAGACCAACATAGAGACACCAATTTGTATCAAAAACAGGCAATTACTCATTTGACTAACTCTGGTTGTGTTATACGTACGTTTATTATTCTTTCAATTTGCTAACGACCTTATATGTGACTATTTAGTAGAGCTGCTGATTTGTATAGGCAGATTCTTCAGCTAAAGCCATTGCTGGAGTACTTTATTAAAATTTCTGACTCAAAAAATTTATATGTTTTGTTTTATATACGTTTATTATATTTTCACTTTCACTTTGGCTAATGATCTTATGTTTGACTATTTAGTAGAGCTTAGCCTAAGGTGCATTAAGTGAATGCACCATTTTACTAAAAGCAATAGACACAGTGAACAAGGTATCATCCATTTGTTTTCATATATTATACTTGATTTGACAAAATTCATGTTTGCTTTTTTATTGTATTCAAACCAATAATAATCATATTGAGCTTACATTTCTTGGGTGTGAAAGTAGCTTGATTACATAAAAACTCCAAAATCAGAAACGTATAAGAACGGTTGAAGAAGACGAGAAGGTTCTCAAAAGAGATTTTTATTTTATTTTATAATGCAACATTTTCTGTTTTTTCATAGATTTTTCAATTAAAAGTCCAAAGGGTAAAATACAGAAAAGACAAGTGAAGCCTAATTAAGGCCCAATACATAATTACACGTCTTTAACATAAATTAGTTTTCTTTTTTCGAGTTTTTTTTTTTTTTTTCTGTTTTCTTAGGTAAAGCATGAGACATTATTTGACTATTTTTTATACAATTAGAGTAATTTAATTTTTCTTTCGAAATTTTGTCTTTTTGGTTTATTTTAACACATTTATAACACACATATATAACACTATATAGCATTATCAAACAATTATATAATAAAGAAAACTTTATTATATTCAGATTAAATAATAAATTATATAAGTAATGAGTATAAATTTTATCCCACTAATAAAACTTACTTAGTTTTAAACTTTGGGATAGTAATTTAATAACATGTATCTTATTCGTATAAATATTTAGTCATATAAAAGCCAAATAATACTTTAGGAAATGTTTTAATAAAATTATTATTAAAAAGAAAATTACAAAATGATGTTTAATTTCACGGGATGAGATTATATGGTGGGAGGGATTTGGATCAATATTAATACGGGATGGTATACTACGGATAAAATCCTAGAATTAATAATCAAACTATAATTATACAATCTTAAACACTAAACAAAACAAATATAACTTAAAATTTTGATTTTTAGTTGTAAAATATCGTTATGCGGTATACTATATATCTATAGATTATCTTAAAAATTTTAATTTTTTTATTTAGTAAAAATATAGGCCCGCGGTGTACCGCGGGTTAACATCTAGTGTATTTGTATGCTTTTAACATGACATATGTCAAAATTATAATTTATGAGATTGTATAACATGTGTCAATTATCGAAATTAGTGACTAAATCGGTGAACAAAAATCCGAAAGTTTATTTGTTAATTTTGGATTCGAGTCTATAATTTTTTTTTCTAGCATCATATCGTTTTACATATGATGAATTTTGTATATATCGAATATTTCAAATGAATTTTCTTCATCTATGTATTGTTTGCGAATTTTCTTTATTTTAACAATTTCTATTTCTTAGTTGATAATTTCGTATTTTTTTCTCTTTCTTTCTTTTATCTTTTTGCTTTACTTTATCTATCGGTTTGTTTTTATTTTCCATTCTTCTTAAATATATAACAAGGCCAAGAATTATTACTTTTATATTGAAAAATAGAAAATGTATATTTTACATGTATGCACGGAACAATAAGTTTTCAAATAAACTGATTAATGAATCAAATATTGTACTAAGTGGGTGGTTTAAGATCGATTTCTAGAACCATTGACATAAACTACCATTGACGTAATAAACTTATGATAGTGAGAATATAAACTAAAAAGAAGAGTAAAACTGAAAAAAAGTGAATAGAAAAATCTCGTCGGTGAGGTAACAACCCAAGAATGAGGTAGGTGGGATCCACATTTACCTAGCTTACGTCCTTGTGTACCTTCGCAGATATATATTTTCACCTTTTGAAAATCAATTTCAACCCATTTTTATATTAAACAATAAAAAAAATTGTCGATTATGAATTGGCCATGGGTCTTCCTTTTTCCACTATTTTTAGTTAGATTTTCTTATCTAAAATCACGAAACCAAACTAAAACTAAACAAAGATTGTACCATTCGAACCAAATTATAAGTGGCTTATATTGGTTCCAGTTTCTATAAAACGAAATGTAAACTGGACTGCCTTAACTCAAAAGTCATATTGTGACTTTTGTGATTGCATTTGCCGCAAACGCATAGGCCGGTATAATTAAAATAAGCAGCTCAACATATTAAGATAACCAAACTAAACCGAGTCAAAAGCAGATTACATCCCGTTCATGTATTGCAGATTGCATCCCATTCATGTATTGCCCCGTACCCGAAACCAAGTGATGGCTGTTAATAGTTATATCCAAAAGAACAATTCTTAAATTCACCCTTAGAGCATACACAGTGGTGTAACTCTGCATCGGGTGTAAGTAATAAAAAAAAAGGAAAATAATGAAAAAGTTGTCTTAGAAATGAAACCCGCGTGTAGAGTTACACTCGGATGTGGGAGGGTTTGGCTTCTCACTTTCTCTTTCTTACATTATTTTATTAATAAAACCTCACTAACACACACTCACCCACTTTTACTACTGTCTATGCTCTTTGGGGTGAACTTCTTTCATTCACTCCATCTTAATTAACCAATTAAAATTGGTTATGTCATCTAATTAACTAAATTAAAACAATTAATATTATCTAAATAAGTAAATAAATAAATTCATTAAAACCCACTAAACTCATTTAATTATTAAATCTAATCCCTAATCACTTTTTTATAAACCCAAACCGATATATAATCTTGTTTAATTACAAAATCTAAACCCTAATCCTCTTTTGTAAACTCGTTTAATCGTAAAATATCTAAACCCTAATCGTACTTTCTAAACCCAAAGCGCCATTTAAACTCGTTTAATCGTAAAAAATCTAAACCCTAATCGTACTTTGTAAACCCAAACCGACATTTAACCTCGTTTAATTGTAAAATCTAAATCCGTTTATAAACCCAGCCAGATATTTAACCTCGTTTAATCATAAAATCTAAACTCTAATCGTACTTTCTAAACCCAAACCGACATTTAACCTCGTGTCATTATAAAATCTAAATCCGTTTATAAATCCAAACCGATATTTAACCTCGTTTAATCATAAAATCTAAACTCTAACCCTTTATAATAAACCCAAACCGATACATGATTTTGTTTTAGTGGAACATTAGATTTTATAATTAAAAATTTTAAAAAAATTTATTATTAAGTGGCAGATTCTGATTAGCTGAAATTAAGGGGGTGAATATAAAGGTTCACCCCTAGGGGTAAACCCAAGTATTTTTTTTATCCAAAAGATTATTATTACCTCTCCATGTTTTTTTGTTTTTTACTTTACTTGTTATATAATATATTATTATTGCTATATAATATATGAAGAATATTGTCTAAATCGTCGGATAATACAGATACGGATATCTTAAAAAAATCGGATATCCGAATATAATGGATATAAATCTTAGGCCTAGTCTCATGAGAGGTTTCCATTTTTTAATATATAGTTTTTTTTTTTTTGGTTTGATATGATTGATTTACACGTGTATTGTCTTTTATATTTTTGCATTATTTTTTCTTAACTGAAATCAAATAAATATAATCAAAACCAACTGAAACTAAACCAAATTGTATCGTTAGACCAAAATTCTAGATGGTTTTATACGTTTCCAGTTTCTACTTTCGATAAAACCATTATAAACTGGATTTGCCTAACTCGTCGTAACTGAAACCTTTGTATTGCCTCAATGCATAGGCCAGTATAACTAAAATAAGCAGCACGATCACCCGCTAATTTCATATACGTATATTCAAACTAGATCAGATTGATATATTCCCATGTTAACATAATAAGACAACCAAAACTAAACCGAGTCAAAGGCAGATTACATCACATTCCTGTATTGCCCATACGGAAACCAAATGATGGTTACATAGTTCCAAAAGATTATTATCACCTCTCCATGTTTTTTTTTTTTTTTTTCCTTTACCTTGCTATATAATATGGCTACCAAAAATAAAGTTTTTTTTTTTCCTAGTTTCTTCTTGAAAGGGTAAAAAAGAGGAGGGTGGGTTCAGGTTCTTAACCTGACCTTCTGTAAATGCTGTAAGCCACGGCTATGGTTGCGACAGCTGATACTGCTGCTGCTCCCAAGAGAACCTCTTCTTTCCCTATTGTTCTCAACCAGTTAAGCTTCATGGATTCTTCTTTCTTCACTGGCTCTGGAGTTTGTTCTTGGCAACATGAAACTCCGTTTGCACCTTGGCAACAACCTCCTGTGAATCCTTTCTGCTCCACAGGTTCGCGTGCTTCCACCACTACACTGTTTCCGTTTGGGATTTTATGCTCATCCTCTTTTTCAGCTTCCTCACCCTCGGGTCTTAGTCTCATCCCTCCCCTGGAATAGAAATTATTTGGTTAAACAATGTTGCTAATTGAAAACAGAAATACAGCGTTAAATTAACCTAAGCAATCAGAGAAGGTAGGAACCTGAAACAATGTTTTTTTCAAAAGAAAACAATATCTTTTTCGATAAATGAGTGAGTTACCATTTGCTATCTCTACGCAGCAACTTGATGACTGTGATTCTAGCAATTACGTTGCAGTATCATACTAGCTTAGAGCCTTAGACTTAATACGGACTTGCAACATTCATTAGCAAACAAAAGTACTTGTTTGTTGAAATTGTTCCAACACAAGGGTATACATCTAGTGCAAGATTTACTACAAGTATGGATGTCGGTATAAAATAAGGTAATACTGTACACGAGAAATTGTAAAGCTGTTTTAAGAAAGGCATATCTGCAATAGGCTAGAAACAAAAGGTTGAAAAACAGACCTGGAAAGGTTTTGTATGATTTCTCCTTTTGCAATGTGCTGATCAAGCATTGCAGGCACGTCATCAGGAGTCACATAGCCATACCTGCATAATAGCAAGATCGTTTTCTTCTGCATAAGATATTACACTTCAATTCTTTTTCTGAATTATACAAGCAAGTTGAATTTGACATTTTCTTACCAGTGGCCAGAAACATTTCCAGCTGAATCAGGGCTGAAGACAATCAAATTTCCAGCATACTTATGCCCACCGATATGAGAACACGGCAAAACGACGATCTTTTCTGAAAGCCCACGTGAACCTATCTCCTGCTGGAACTTCTCCATAAGAACTGGTCCACAAACACCACATCTCTTGTCTCGGCTACCATGAGCACACACAAACACAAAGGAACCACTTAACTCTTCCTGAACCCCAGAAGTCCATGGTTTTCCTTTCACAAGCACATCTTCCACAAAAGCATCCACATCCGTGTCCTGAATCGCCCTTTAATATCAACAACAAGCTTAGAAAATGTACAAGGATAATCAACAAGATAGCTACAGGATCCAAAACAACACAAAGAACGATAACAGAGTAACATAAACACATATCAACAGAATAATCGGAAACCAGCTTTTCAGATCCAAATCTCGAGTTTAACACCATCATCTTTAGAACTCAAAGACACAAAATCTGAGAATCTACATCTCTTAAATCCCTAGCAATCGAACTACCAAGCAAGAATTCGAAACAATGAGGTCAATTCCTAGTCAAATCATTCCCTAAGAACCATAAACAAAAGCGAAAACTAGCTGAAAATCAAATCTCCAATGAACTCACTTGTATCTAACCATCTCCGGGAAAATCAACACATCTCCATCAGATTCACCACCACCACACACCGTAAGCTTCGTCTACAACAAATTCAAACATTCAAAAACTAAACAAGATTCTTCACACCTAAAAACAAGTTACTTACCTCAACTCCGAAATCAGCTTTCCGATCCTTAAACGATTTAGCGAAACGCTGCGGGAGACCTTCAGTTTCAACACGAGGAAGCCAAGTCTCATGACTCTTGTAACAAAGGAACACATGACGACCGTACGGACCAACGGAACCGGCGAGAGTACCACTGTACATCTCCGGCCGTTTAAATCCATAGAGCTCGTCTTCCGAAACCGGCACAGCGTTAACGTTCTCTGCTACTTCTTCCGCCATTGAAGTCTTCTTCACACCAAAATCTAGGGTTTCGCAGAAGCAGATAGATGAAGAAGAAGAGAGAGAGTTGAAGAAGCGAATCAATCGAAATGAAGATGTTAATTTCGTTTTCATTTAAATAATTTTTCGAAAAAGAAACATTTTTGGTTTTTATCAATTTTTCCTTAAAATCTGTGGAATCTGAAACCAACCCTCTCTCACAGCTCCACGCCAATTGAGCCTGATGTTAAAGTGACTGGTCGGTGATATAAGCCTTTTACCAACCCCCAGCTCATAGAAGGTACCTACTTACCAATCTCTACTCGCCCGTCAAACTGCTACGCTGACAGACGGTTACTTTAGTTAAAATGAGATTATTACTCTTCTTTGATTGTTTTGAAGTTTTTTTTTTTTTTTTTTTTAAGTTTATGCTCAACTAAATTATTAATTAGGAACACTACACGTAATTAAATTCATTTTTGCAAGTTAAATTGTCTGACTATTACACAGATCATTTTTTAATATTAAGAGAATAATAATTATTTTTGTCTTTACATCTCTAATTTACCATTGCTTCACAGATTCTTTTTTTATTTGTTTTAGATTCCTTTTAGGAAATTTATTAAAGATGAACATGAATGTTTTTAGATTCTATTTAAAATTTCTGCCTTTTTATATTATTTTTTTAGGGAAACTAGTAAGAGGACTATTACACAAATAATTTGTTTCACTTAGTGGCGGAGCCAGGATTGTTTTTAACTGGGGTCAAAATAAATATTAAAAAAAATTGTTTATAAACTGTAAAAAAAAATCTATAATTGCATTCTACATTCATTCATACCTTTTCTAAACAAATGAATCATATTACAAAAGTATAAGACATTTTTAAAAACAAAAAAAAAAGCAAAAAAAGCATTACCTTGATTTAAAGATGCCATAATTTGGAGTTTTTTTTCAAGCGGCAAAATTTTTTTATTGTTATTTCTCTATTAATTCATATAAATCATTAAAAGTTGTATTATTGTTTTGGGTTTCGTTTGAACGTGGGTTCAATTTCGAAAAATATTGCACTTTTCATGTATGTAAATTAGTTTTTTGATTGAATCAATGGGGTCAAGAGATAATTTTAATTGGGTTCATTAGATCTAATGGTAAGACATATGATAGAATTTTAGAAAGTAGTTGGGGTCAGCTGACCCCACTACCTATAGTGTGCTTCCGCCCCTGGTTTCACTGATAGGTAATTTTTTTTTTGAATAATAAAAATAGGTAAAAAATAAATTGAATTTGATTTTTTTTTTTTTGTGTTTACTCTAATTTTACCATTTCTAAAAACAATTTTTGTATTTTTTTGCACTTTTTTAGAGACAAATCAAGTTGTCTTAATTCTTCTTAGCTTTACCATTTCTATAAGCATTCCCTATGTTTGTTTTAGATTCCTTAAGAGGAACATTTGTAACATTCCTTTGTAAAACTTATAGAGTAACACTAATCTGTTTGATGATTGAAAGAAACATCTATTGATGATTAAATTTACATTTCCATATTTGCATTAAAAGAAACTTGTTTTGAATATATGTATTGGAAAAACTAGATACAACCTCACCACAATGTGAAGAACACAACAGTCAAATATTTGGTAAGACCAAACACATCACTAAAACACAAAATCTAGACACAAACCCCAAAAGTAAAATCATAATACGCCGGTACAAGATTGAACCAACCACAAATCAGAAGAAATCAATTTCCAAATAATTACCAGAAGGCTTCACATCCACAGTAGGAGGCTTATTATCATGAACACCATGTCCATGTCCTTGACTAAGACCATGACGAAGACTAGGAGCTTGATCCATTGGTTTAACCGGTTGAGGGATCTGTGGTGGACTGGTGCATCTGATCAAAGCCCAATTCACACTTTGGAAAAACGGATGTTGCTTAATCTCAGTAGCTCCTCTTCTATAAGCCAACCGGTGCTGAGGCTCTTTCACTAGCAATCCTCTGATCAAGTCTCTAGCTGCAAAGCTCACATTTGGGTGCTCGGGAAACCGCAATGGCTGTCCAACTACGTTAAAGAGTGTTGCTCTGTTATCGCCTCCTCTAAACGGTGTTATCCCGAATAGAAGCTCATAGAGGAAAATCCCGAATGTCCACCAGTCAACCGCGCTTCCGTGGCCTTCTCCTTTGATAATCTCTGGTGCTAAGTACTCGTGTGTACCAACAAACGACATTGACCTTGCGCTAGTCGGTTCAGCGATAAGCTCGGGGAGCGGTCTGATTTGGCGGCTCATATCGTTCGACTTCTTCTTGTGCTTTCCTTTAGACAAGAACCGAGGAGTGAAACACACTGGCTGGATGCAGTCAGGTTGAACAATGCAGCTCGATTGGTCTACACATGTTGGCTGGATACAGTAGCTTGAGCTTTTGGACTCGAGCGTGATTGCTGCGAAACGAACCAACGTTGGAGAGACTGCACATCTCAGGGAGAGATCGAAATCGGATAGCATTATATGTCCATCTTCACGAACTAAAACATTCTCAGGCTTAAGGTCTCTGTATATGATCCCAAGCATGTGTAGATACTCCATAGCAAGAAGAACTTCAGCAACATAAAACCTACAAACAAAACAACGACTTTCAGCAATAAACGAAAGCATTAAACCGCGAAAATCGCAAACCGTAAAGTCTCGATATTTACCTAGCAGCCTGCTCAGGGAAGTACTTTCCACGCTGTTTTTGCCGGAGAGAATGTAAATCACCACCAGGACAAAACTCCATAACCAAACAAGAATGATTCTCTGTTTCGAAATGTGAATAAAGCGTAGGCAAGAACGGATGATCTAACGATTGAAGTATCTCTTTCTCAGTCTGAGCTCTAACAAGCTTCTTCCTCGCTGCAATAGCTGCTTTCTCCATAACTTTCACAGCAAAACTCACTCCAGTTCCAATCAACTCAGCTAAGTAAACATTCCCAATGTCACCTCCTCCAAGCCGTTTCATCAGCTTGAAATCTTTAGCCTCAAGCGACGAACCAACCCGAGACCGAACCTCCTGTATCGCAACCCAACGCTTATCGTTATTAGCTCTATGTGGCTTATAAGCTGCATTACTCATACTACTCAAGCTACTCTCGTCACTAACATCACTCCCTGTACTTCCTCTGTATATCATTACACCATTCTTCTCCAAATCGATACCGCCTATACCGATAGTGCATATGCTTGCACATTCACTGACTTCTGTGTTGGTAAAGCTCTGTTTTGCTTCCGTGTAGAGTGGCGCTGTGTAAAACGTGTTCGTTGGGCTAGGGTAATATCTTGGCTCTGATTGTTTCTTCTTACGTATAATCGAAATTGGTGTTTCGGATTCAGCTGAAACAGAGGATTCAGAACTTTCTATAACTTCAGGGGAAGTTGTTTCTGGTTCTGGTATTAACGCCTTCTTCAATGGCCGTTCTGATTTCTTGGTGCTTCTTGAATCGATTGAAAAAGATGTAATCGAACCTTTGGATTTGGCTGGAAGGTTTCTGGGTTTGGATGATGAACCAACGTAAACGACTGATGAAGAAGAATCCATTGAAGGTGTTCGACACAATTCCTGAAAGAAACGATTTTTAAAAGTTAACTTCAAAACCGAATAAAGAAAGCGAAACAGTGAAAACCCAGCAATGATTAGGGTTGCTTAAACTCAATCAACGAAACAATTTCAAGTAACCGCCGAGAAAACGCAGAGGGAAAGAAAAAAGTTTCGGTTTTTTTTCCCGCAAAATTTTCAAATTCCGGGAAAAGTTGCAGAAACAGAGAAGAAGAAGAAGGAAAGAAATTAAAAACCTGATCATAGACAAATCAGTAGCTATTTGTAGATCCGATCCGATCAATGTCCTAGAAGAAGAAGAAGAGACTAAAGAAACAGTTTTTTTTGTGTTCTTTCTTTCGTTTTCTTTTAAGTTTTCTTTCTTCAGGTGAATGAAGAAAATAAAGAAAAAATTTAATAAGAAAAAAGTTGGAAATGTGTTTCGTCGTTTAATGGGAAAGTTTTTTAACTCTCGATCTTGAGATGTTCCCTCAAAAGCAATGTTTCTTGTTTCTTTCTTTTTTTGTTTTTCGTTATTGTTATTGTTTTTTATTTTGTGTAAAAACTTAAATACTGTAATTAAGTAGGGAGCCGCTTCTAAGCACTAATTAGTACTAGATTATATTATACACTCGTTGTGTATGAATCTTCGTGTTATGTTTTTGTTATGTCTAGGCTATAAAGTTTGAGTATTAGTATCTATTTAGTAGGGACATTATAAAAAAAAAAATTGTAGGGTCACATTAATTTTGGGCATATTCGACGAATCTGAAATCCAAAATTTTAAAATATGAAATCGACTGGTCTCTCTTACTAGCTACTATTACTAATTTTAGATGTTTAGTGTAAATAATCCAATTTTTAATTAAATGTGGTTTCATTTTACGGTTTTGAAAATCCTTAAAGATTCAAAAGGAACCTAGAGAAAATTAGTTTGGAACTTTATAACACTCAGATAAAATTTGTTTAAGCTAAGGAGGAAAAAAATCATACTTTGTGTAATTGTGTTGGATAACCCTATGCATTAAACTCTTAAACTAATAATTTGTGCATGAAACTAAAAAATGAGACAACTGACAAAGCTTATCCAAATATTCATAATTTCTTGATTTGAAAATTCTATTACGAATTAATATCTATGCAATGAGATTATACAACATGGAATCATAATCATTAGATATTAATTGCACCAATGCAATCTTGTTTGTAGATTTTAATTAAAATATTTTCTATCACGAGACATGTCCTCCTAAGAATTCGAGATGGCTGGTACATTGAACCACTGATAATCAATTTTACGATAGCATTGTTAAAACTTAGATAACTATGTTCTTCTTTATTTCTAGAAGTAATTACTTTAACTATTTAAAATGACTCCATTAGTTAAACTATTTTATGAGGATGAATCTAAAACTTATTCAACGAAAAAAAAAACGAGAAATCATGTTAACAAAACAAAAATCAACTAGTGATTAGTAATTAATTACACTTTAAAATTAATTTAACATTACATATTAATGTATGAAGTAGGCGGAAGTTACGACCGAGGCGCCCCAAAGCCTCACATGGACGCACGTGAACTCCCGGCAACAGCACGTGGGCGACGGCTGTCGTCGTCCTCCGGCGCATTTTATTAACTAGTCTAAGCCAAACCATGTCACAATCGTTGCATGTTGATGTTTGATTAAACTTTTAACTAAACCAAATGATGAAGTTTATTTGGAAAATGGTTCACAGAAAATTACGTTTGAATGTTTAAAATCTTTGGGTATCATTATCAACTCCAACACAAACTAAAGTAAAAAACCAAACAAACTAAAACCTAACCAAACAACAAACCGAACTAATTTCGAATCAACCAAACTCATATCCATACTAAATCTAAATTGTCAATGCAACCATCTTAGAACACTTTATCAAAAAAAAAAAAAAAAAAAAAAAAAAAAACCTTTTTATTATCTTGCCCTCGCAAACTTCTTGTCTCTTGGGTTAGGATAATGGCGTAGTTGTATCAAACCAACTTAACCTTTCTTTTCGTCGATAACATATTTTATACGAGTTTGAATATAAATAGTAACGCAACAACTATATTAATATAAACTACAGTCTACGCTGTTAGTGTTACATCTCCTTATCCAACTCGGCCAATTTTCAAAGCCACATAAGAAATATCCTCATCATTTAATACTTGATAGAGTATAATTATTAGACCATTTTTGGGAAAATTGGAAATAAAAGATAAATACTTAAGTATTTGTTCATATATGAATTCTATGAACAAATATCAATTATTCTTAAACTATCCATTGCATAAGATTCAACCAATTGTTTCAAAAATAATTAAGAAAAATATGTATTAAAATGATAAAGAAGACATGAAGATATATAAAATGTCAAAAATATATTGTTTTGTTTTCGTTTTAGATGGATAAAATTTGATCTATAAAGTTTAGAATATGTCTTCTGAAATTAGAATGTATATTCTATACACTCTACCTTTTCTACAAAATTTAGATTATGTATTCTACACACTCTACATGTTCTACAAAATTTAGAAGTCATTTCTGTTCTACGGTATTTAGAATACTAGTTTCTACGACTTTTAGAATACATATTCTATACTTTGTTCTTTGTTCTACAAAAATTAGAATATGTTTTCTAACATTTACTCATGTTCTAAGAATGTTAGAAAACATATTCTTAAGTTTTTTTTTATTCTATAAAAATTAGAAAGTACATTCTATATCTAATTTAGATTTAAAAAAAAATATCTTAAAATATGGAAATTGAATATAGTGAATTTGATTACATCTGCAAATTACAGAAGTTGAATTCTGAATACTTTAAAAATTTTTATATCTAAGTGAATAAATTATAACACAAATTAGAATTTTTCTTTATACTTCACACTTTTTCCTATAGATTACGCTTAATTTCTTGTCTCAAAACCCGGAAAATTAGTTGAATTTTGAATACTTTATAATTCTTTATACCTAAGTGAATAAATTATAACACAAATTAGAATTTTTCTTTATACTTAACATTTTTTCCTATAGATTACGCTTAATTTATTGTTTCAAAACCCGGAAAATTATAGTTGCGCTCCATAAAGAAATTGAAATCAAGGGAGTGAGATAGAGAGAGAGATTGAAGAAGAAGAAGAAGAAAAAAAGTTATTTAATATGGCGTTATTAGAGAGGAGAGAACAATTACGAAAGCTTAACTTTGATGAGCAAGAGAATCAAAGAAGATGAAGATATGAAATTATCTACGGGAAAACAAATAATGGAATGTAAATAAATGTTGATTTTGTCCTATATTGTTTCCAAATTGTTTTTAGAAAGAAATCAATTTAATTTTGAATTTTTTTAATAGTTTAGTTAGATTTTAAAAGACTGGGGGCATATTGAGATTTTAATTATATGAAATCATATATGACCAATATTAAAGTATATATATGACCAATCATGAATATAGAATGCATAAATAGACAATAGCTTAATTATTTATCATTTATTTTCAATTTTCCCATAACATAATATAGTGAGGCCAATAGGTCATTAAAGGATTGATGTGACGAGTGGCCCTAAGACTTCAATATTGGGTCCAACATCAAACATGAATATACACGTAAATCTCTATAACTAAATTAATATTCGATAAATTAATAACTTTTGTAAATTAATAAATTTATCCGGTTTCGAGTTGAGACTAATATAAAAATGACATAAAATCGATAAATTAATAAGATCATATTTTTTTAAAAATCCTATATAAATATATAGTCCCATCAATACCATAAATTAATAATTATATAAATTTATCAATATATATATATATATATATATATATATTATATGTAAATTTTTTTAGTGACATATGACTTTAGTATTGTTTATTTTTCATAAATTTGTATTAATTCTTTGTAGAGTTCATTTTTAATATTTTTACTACATCGAAAAAAGTTTGTTTATTTTCAACTTAATAATTTATATTCTATTTGTAATTAGTTTTAGAAAGATATTGATTATAAAAAAAAACTGTTTTCAAGTTAAAATATTTTTAAGAAATTACAAAATTAGTCTAAATTCTCTATAAATTAATAATTATTAATTTGTCTATAAATTAATATATAACTTTATAAATTAATAGAATTTTCCGGTTCCGATATTATTAATTTATATAGGTTTGACTGTATATAACTCTTGTGGAAGTTGAGTTGAAGTTCAATCATTCAAAACACTTTAACTTTTTCATTCAAAATATTTAAATAAAAGAGTTTCTAATTTTAACGTTAATTAGCGACCCGACCCGGCCCCAACTCTACGTCACGTCATGTAGACTGATAATGGAATGCAACGAATCAGGTAAGGTAATGGTGAACAAATTCAGAAGAGATGGTGCAAAGTAGGCTCGGACATATCAATCATATCTTCACCAAACAGAAATATATATGGGTCAAAGAGATCATATCTTCACTCTAGGTGCAGACACATCAACCGAATTTATAACATAGAATTAGAAACCATACAAAATTGAAAACTATGTATGAGTCAATTAGATAAATGCTTAACGTGGACTCAAAAAAAAAAAAAAAAAAAAAAAAACTAAACAGTATAGACGTAGCTAAAACGGATTCTTGGGTTTTATAAAATGACTTAAACCATATAAAACTATATGTAAGTTTGCTGCATAATTTTTTTTTTTAAAAACATAAAGAAGTTCATTAACCTCATAACATTTCCAGCAACTCAAAAGTTTGATAACAAAAATTGCATTTTAGAAACATATCAAAGTAATCAAATATAGGAGAAGCACGCAGAAGTTCTGAGTCAACCAACTCGTTGAGCTTCTCTAGAGCCTAAAATAAGAAATGACTTTATCACAACGAAATCAAATTAAGAGGTTCAATGGCCTCAAATGTTTCCTAATCACGGACATACTCCCATAAAACTCGAACTCTACGTCAATATTGCAGATTCTCAATTCCACATAAGTCCCCTTATTTTCATGTATATTTTTAGAGTGTTACTAGAGCTATATATACACGAGGCTAATTAGTTACGGGTGCATAAGTGGCACATGAATACCGCCTAAAACAATTAGCTTAAAATTGAAAACTAAGACCGACGAGATCTGCTTGCTCAAGCGTAAAGTCTTTTGGTGTTGCTACTAACGTGTCTTCAAGGTTTTGGAAATGATCCTCAGGATCATAGCCTAGGTGTCTTGATAAGCTGGGAGATTTCACCAGCTTTTGAGGATTGACCCACAGCTGAACCAACATATAATCCAACGGCTAGTGATTTATCATCAACTAAACACATCCTTAATCATTACATTACCTTCTTATACATTCATTTGAGTTTTGAGATATCAAGCTTGACTTAATTAAATAGCAAAACTTTGAGACAATTAAAATAGATGATTATATACTTGCATAGAATATAGAAGAAAACCCAATCAAAGTCAAGATTTTTACATAGAGGAGAAACTTAAAATGACCATGAGTATAAGATCATTTAAGAAAGATAACAGAGCCAAAACGAACAATAAGCTGCCAAATATCCAAACATCAATCAATCAAAACAAGAAGCTTGAGATCGCATCATCTCACCAAGTGCGTTGTTAAACAATTCCGTGCAACAACAAGGCTTGTCCAAATCTGTCTCTCTCCCACACGTACACAAGGACAGAGTAAGGATTTCTCCTGCTCCCACATTGTAATGTGCTAGTGACCTGTTGTTGTCCTTCAACAACCCGGCTTTTCCGAATAACACCTGTTTCTCTGGTGGGATACTTCGGACCTCCTCGGCTATTTTCTCCTTGAAACTGGCCACGTTTTCCGATAACGACTGCACTGTTTTCTCAATGATGTTTACCTCACGACCTTCGACACTGACAATCGAAACCCTGATTGTACACCAACCCTGAAAAAATGTATAATGTCAGATACAGCTTAGACGAAAGAAAGAAAAAACAAAGACATGTAAGAAAGAGCCTGAAGAAAACATTACCGGGTGTTTAGCAAGAAACTGGTCTTCTGGAACAAGGCCTGACTCGTCAAGCTTTAGTCTCTTTGGCTCTGGTTCCGTTCCAGATACAGACCCAGTGGTTTCAGGGTGTGGCAGCTCTTCATTGTTAGCAAAATCTTTCACGAGAGAAGCATGCCAACGAACCATAGACATCACCCCTCCATCGTGCCATTTCAAATCTTGGAGAGAATCCCACTGATTAACAAGACGGAAAAAACCATCATGTATGGCCGACATATAAGCATGACTCTTGCTAACCTTTTCTTTCAAATCTTTAGGGGGACTAAATACTTCTGAATACTCGAGAACAAACCGAGTGAAACGTGGGAACTTGCTATCAGTTGGGTTCGTAAACTCAAACCCATCTCTGTTCTTGAACCCCAGCCAGAAATCGTTTCCATACCAAGCCCCAAACTGAGCTGTGAGCTTCATAGTTCTAAAATCCTTGCCACTCATCCCTTTAGGAAGTCTAAGGTCGAGAAAATATGGCAGAACAATGCGTTGACCAGCAGCATCAGCATCATCATCAAGATTAGCTCCCTCTTGTTGAATCCAAGAACGGAATTCGGTAGCCTTTTGCTTGTAAACAGCAAGAGTAGCATCATAATCAAGATTAGCTCCTCCGTCTTGTTGATTGATAGAACGATATTCGGTAAGCTTCTGCTGGTAAAACGCGTGAAAGGGATGGGAACTAGCCATAAAGCTGTATCTTGCTTCATCTGCAACAAGATGCCTCATGACGCTCTCAAACACCAACCCACCTTTGGAAATGTAACGCGCCATATCCTCGATATCATTTCTGATTATACCTGGAGGTGGCTCAGTGACTTGGGTACTAACTACAACATGACCAAAATCATCAACAATAGTTCCATTTTGTTGAATCTGAGAAAGGTAATCACTAAGCTTCTGCTTGTAATATCCGTGTAAGGGATCTTCAGGGTTCCTCAGAAAGTTGATTCTTGGATCTTTGACATTGGTCATCATCCTCTTCTCATACTTCAACCCTTTTCTGGCAATGCAACGTGCTACATTCTTAACAATTCGTTCAGCCTCCGCTTTATCTGAGATGATTTGCGAATCCATCTGCCTTCGAATTTCAGGTTTTGACCTAAATAAAAGATTGCCACAATAAACTATCAAATCTACCGAAATCAGTTGAATATAAGGTGGAGACAAATTAGAAAAATACACATGATTATTTCCATCGGAGAAGCAAGTGAAAGAAACAAGAGATTCATCGATACTATAAATATGAGAAATCCAAGGACTATACTTACTACTTAGGCTTTTAGGGAGAGATACGAAACTCCGATACCTCAGCTGGCAAGAAACAGTCCCGCCGTGAAAGTCGTGTAGAATCGGAGAACGAACGACTTGGAGAAATCGACGCAACCGACGAGAAACGAAGAAGATAAAATCAATATAAACCCTAAACTGATACCCAAAAAAACATGAACCCTACTAAACGAAACTTGTGTCTTAGGTTTTCCAACGGGCCTTTATTATTTGGGCCTCTAGTTTCGGTCCATAACACAATAACCTCATGCATGAGACTTTATCTATTACTCCCTCCGTTTTAAATTAGTTGTCGTTTTAGAAGTTGAATTTTGTTTCAAATTAGTTGTCGTTTTAGGTTTTCAATGCATATTTTTGACAGATTTTTCAATTTTACCCCTACTCTCTTAGCTTATTAAGTAATAATATTACATAAAACAATACATTAATTAGGGGTAAAACAAGAAAATTGAATGTTTTATTAATAAACGTGAAAAAACCTTAAACGACAACTAATTTAAAACCGAGGGAGTATCAATTTATCATAGTAAAGTTCTTTGAAAAGCAGCAGCAAGTTCTTGATTGATCTAATCTTATTCTTTTGAGTTTTGCTGCAATTGATTATGGTGCCAGAAAAAGGTATACAACAAAGCAAACAACTTTGCTTTTTATTATTTTATATTTTATTTTCACAAGCATGTCAAGAAGAAAAAAGCCAATATTCTTTTGTTTGTACAATAAGTAAGCACTTCTTAATAAACAATACGAACTGTCTTTGCAAGTCACTAGTTCCTGCATTATGAAATAACATCTCCTCGGTTCTTTCTTAGCTCGGTAGAGGATATATCCATTCGGAATGTTTCCGCTGGAATTGAGGTAAACATACTGCTTATTTCATCTGGAATGTCAATATTGTCGAGAACCTACAGAGGAGCGAGGATAAGTAAGGCATAATGCATAAAATCTCATAGACAACACTCGCACAATAGTAAAATTGTGTTACTTGAGATTGTAGTGTTGAGATCAAACCTTAAATTCACCATCTACATTACGGCCACCAACAAGGAACTTGCAACCTGTTCGTTTGCAGTCACCTAGTACCTCCAACATCCTTTTGTGGCTTCCTTCATAGTACTTTGGCTGCAAGAAGTTAAAGTTCCTTTATAATTTCGTCTTTAAACGTTGATGATCGCAACAATGTAGCATATAAATCTAATTGTAGGGTTTAAAAAAAAGAAACAAAAAGAAGATCTGCGGGCTAAAGGTTCATACATTAACAAGCCTTGCTGCAGTGTCAGCACCGATTACAAAACTGCTTCCTGGGAAGAGTTCAGCTTTCTTGTAAAAGAATGGCTGATTTGAAACTATTACCGTCTTTTCTGCAAACCAGATACCAACCAATATCAAAACGATAGCACGAGTAAAATACGCATATACTTGCATTGGAAACAATTATAGCTCAAATCATAGATTGGTTGTAATCACAGAGATATACAAAAAGGTGGTGCACAAGATTGAAAACATTAATAACTAGTGAGTGAAAAATGAAGATTCCGCAATACCAAGTACTTCAAATTGCTTGACGCGATCTTTAATTTCTGCAACTGTAAGCGATGGTTTGTCTGCATTTACTGCAGATATCTCAAAACATGGGTACCCTCCTTCACTAACACTGCATCAACAAATCTTCGTATGAGATTGTTTACATTTTGTTATCTGTTTTGTTGTTTGGAGATAATAAAAACGTCAAAATGCCAGAGGAGTCTCCAAAATACAATAAGGAAAACAATTCACATGGCACAACAAAAGAAATGGTCATATTACTAATTACCTTGCATAACATAGCATATCAGCTTTAACTAAGAAACATAGAACCAGCAAAGAGTCAAAGACAATAATGATTAAATAATAAAAACATACAAGCTTACCTCAGAGCAGCTTCCAACAGCTTGAGATGACCCTCATGTAATGGGTTAAAAGAACCAGGCAGTATAATCTTTCTATCTTTATCCGATCCATATGATTCTGCTATAAAGATATAGAAACTACATCAATAATGGCAACGGATGCAAGATTCAGTTAAAAAAACTTCAAAGTAAGTTTTATTGAGTCAAATGACCAAAATCTTACCTTTAGAAAATGGATAAATCTTAGAACACAATTGTCCATCTATAAGCTGCTCTAGTTCTTCTTCTTCACTAAACCGGGTTTCAGACTCATTAAGCACCTCAGACTCAGTCAAGCCAGAGTCAAGTGTCTCAGAAACTCGGCATGCTTTGGCCATAGCCTAAGATAATAATGACCAGAAGAGTTTTTAAGAACTCATGAGTATCTCAAAGCACAATGCTTTTAGAAAATTTATCCCCTAGGCAGGTACAAAACTGTAAATGACATACCTGAATCAGTACAGAGCTTGCCACTTTATCTTCTTCCTCTCGGCTTCGTTTTCCCTAAAATCTTCCACAATAAGATAACAGTAAAAGAGTAAAGAAAGACATGAGAAAGAAAATGTTGCAATCACCTTTGTTAGAGTAACTGAAGTTTCCCATATCCGGTCGGATGCTCTTATCGACAAAAAGAACCTATTCAGCATAACAAACAGAACTATATGAGTAATATAAAATCTAAATCCCTTGCTATGATTGTTTTTGTTTCAGAACAGGACATAACCTATGATCCCCACGCTTTGGACGAGAAGTTGCTAATGTTCCCGTAAAACCGACACCAAGAACCTCACATCCTATCCACCAAATTACCAAAGTTAAAACCAAATCCAAGATTTCTACTTCTTGCTAACAAGCAACAACTATGTTTCTTTTGTTAATCCGGAGGTTCTGGGCCTAAACACGTACATATCCGAGTAAAACATGATATGAAATATAAAAATACCACCACTGCAACAATAAATCAACTAACAATGTTACTAAGCAACAACGATGTTGATTGTTGAAGAAGGTAATGTAAAAATTAACCTGGTTTAGAAAGCTTAAGAGCCCGATTATAAGCTAACAAAGCCATTTCATTCGCCATTGCTTGGCTACAGTGTTGGTTCGGAACCTGAGAGAATGATAAAATCTGGTTATAGTCGGGAAAGAGAAACGATTTGATCATTAGTTCAAGGTTTTGAGAACAAACCCTTCCGAGTAATTGAACCATAGAGATCATAGAATACGGAACCACGGCTTCGAGAAGTGTGTTCGAAGCTCCAGGAACTGACATTAACCAACCTAAAGACTGAATAAGAAGTTTTGGATCATTCCAAGCAAAATTACATGAATCTGGTATATATAGAGAGGTAGAGAGAGAAACCTGAGAGGCACCGCCGGAAAGATACACGACGGCTTGCGTCGGTGATGAGTGAATTGATTCGACGATGGTTCGGATCGCAGAGTCTGCCATTGTTTCTCTCGTTGTCTCTGTGGAAGCAGAAAGAGAAAATTTTTAAAGTTGACTTTAAAATTCTAATTTCATTCTCGAAGAAGCTGACTTTAATTTGAGATACATAGGAGGTTTTAAAATTTAGTTTTCATTCGGTTATTTTGCTTAGGATATTTTCGGATATTTTATCCATTCGGTTATTTTCAAATTTTCGGTTCAGTTCGGTTCGGTTTTTTTTGCTTCGGTTTCGGTTCGGTACATTCGGTTCGGTTTATTTGCTCAGACCTAATTTAAATTATCAGTTGTCTATTTTCGTTGATTTAAATCATGAATTATGCACATGGTGATTAAAATGTTTAATTTTATGACTTATCACGAATTTTCGTTGACAAAAGCTAGTTGAAGCACATAATCGAAATCGAAAGAAGAAATCTTAAGAAACTAAAATTAAATCGGGATTTGAGAAGAAATCGAGAAGATTAGAGAAAAAAATCGAGAGAAGTTCTAATTTTGATATCAATTTTCTTCTTTCGATTCCAATTTTGTGCATCAATTGACTTTGTCAACGAAAATTCGTGACTAAAATGAAAGTCAACATAAAATTGAGCATCTTAATCACCAGGTACAGAGTTCATGTTTTAAATCAAAGAAAATGAACAACTGATAATTTAAATGATATTTTTCTCAAATAACAATCCTAATAAATAGGAAAAACTACAAAATCTACCACATTTTCCCAATTTCTTTCAAAATCTACCATATTCTTCTTCATCTTTCAACTCATACCACATTTTGCTGTAGATTGACAATTTTGCACTCACAGTTGATGGTAGTTTTCACGACTTGACAACCTGCACTTTTTTCCTTCCCTATTAATCTCTCCTCTCTTGAAATCTGTGCGCTTTAACCCCACATTATTATTCTCTTTCTTCTTCAGATCTTGTCTCATAATAAACGCTTTCATTTTTGTCTCCAGATCTTGTCCCCAACTGGAAATTCTCTGTTGCGTCTAGATCTTGTCCCTGATTTCATCATCTTGCTCTATTATCATGAATCCCACATCTTGTCCACCAATTGTTCTCATTTAAGGATTTCGAATTTTATTTAGATTTTTCACCATCTATTTTGGTCCACAGATTAGTTGAGCATTATTGTCTTCACCTACGCGGATTATTGAATTATTTTTTCCTTCTATTTGCAGAATAACAAAAAAATCCAGTTGTCCCTGAGTAAATCCAGATCTCTGGCGGACACTTTCGTTTCTCTCTCACTTTCCCTTTCTCTTTCTTCTTCAGATCTTGTCTCATAATAAACGCTTTCGTTTTTGTCTCCAGATCTTGTCCCCGATTAGAAATTCTCTGTTGCGTCTAGATCTTGTCCCCGATTTTATCATCTTGCTCTATTATCATGAATCCCACATCTTGTCCACCAATTGTTATCATTTAAAGGTTTCGAATTTTATTTAGATTTGTTCTCATTAGTTGAGCATTATTGTCTTCACCTACCCAGATTATTGAATTTTTTTTTCTTCTATTGCAAAATAACAAAAAAAATCCAGTTGTCCCCGAGTAAATCCAGATCTCTGGCGGACAAAACTACATCATCACGCTCAATTTTCGATCTAATTATATTACTCATTCGTTTTGACTTGTCCCCGATCTAATTCTATTACCCATTCTATCTAAACTTGTCCCCGATCTAATTCTATTACCCATTCTATCTAAACTTATCTCCGATCTAATTATATTACTCATTCGATATGAACTTGTCCCCGATCTAATTATATTACCCATTCGATATGAACTTGTACTCATTCGAAATGAACTTGTCCCCGATATGAACTTGTACTCATTCGAAATGAACTTGTCCCCGATCTAATTCTATTATTCATTCGATATGAACTTGTCCTCGAACTAATTATATCACCCATTCAATCTGAATTTGTCCATGATCTAATTATATCACCCATTCAATCTGAATTTGTCCCTGATATAAGATAACCATGCAGCATTTATTGCAGACCTGCTCCTTCTTTGGAAGCACCAAACGAAACTGTCTTGTCTCTGACACAGATTGTGTCCCAAGTCTGTCTCTGACACAGACTTTGTCCCAATCAAGGGTATTTTGGTCCAGCATTCCACATGTGCTATTGGAATATGGTAGATTTTGAAAGCTTTTTGAGATTGTGGTAGATTTTGAATGTCACTTGTGGAAATGTGGTAGATTTTGTAATATTCCCTAATAAATACTTTCTACGTTTGCCGTTTTCTAATCATAACCTTTTTGTAATATATTTTCAATTACTAAATATATTTAAATTAATTATTGCAACGTAAACGTTTAGTAAATCGTAGCAACACTTGGTTTGTTCCACGAATAATTGTAAATTTTAGTCTACTTTATGAATTTTTGTAACAGTTAATTATCTATCGTCGCGTCTCTCACATATAATTTTTTTTCATAAATAAATCGTTGTAACATTTGTTTTATTTGACGAATTATTGCAACTTTTAATTTATTTTATGAACTGTGTAATTTTTAGTTATTTTACTAACCATTGCAATATTTAGTATATTTAATATTACGATTGTACTTTTTGGTTTATTTTATAAACTATTGTAATCTTTAGTTTATTTGACGAACCATTGCAATCTTTACGTAGCTTTGAGTCGCTTCGCAATGATCTTACAAATAACCTTATACATCAAGTTGCTGCATGCGACTGGCATATAGTTTACTCACACGATTGCGCATCCGAATGTTTTGGAACTAGCGAGAGTATGGTAGCTAGCAGACTTTGAATTTGGAATCCAAACAAATAAAATTTGGTAAAAGATATTGAGAATAGTTGTTATACCCTGTTGATTACAAACACTTCAAGTGCTCTTCTGATTCAATGATATCCTATGGGAGCTGGAGCTTCTTTCAGCTCATGACCTTGGTAGTGAATATCCTGCAATTTATACAAACATATTAAAAGAATTTAATTAATCATCGATCTTTTTAACATACATAATTTCCATATATTTTAGAGTAAACACTTACGGATGCATAGTGGTTAACATCACGGTGATGGGCCTCATCAGCACGAACCACCATGACGACATCACGAAGCGTTGCGTCAGCTTCAAGCCTCCAGTAATCAATAGCAATAGCCGGTGCAGGAACGTTTTCAATGTTACCATTATCAAGTTCTTTGAGAAATTCGGTGTAAGAATGTATTGCTTCTTCCTCAAGGTATCCAACCATACGATGAGCAAATTTGGGGGAGATTAAGTATCCGAGTAAATAAGCGTTGAAGAAAACGCCTTGAACAGCGATCACAAGAGCTCGTTCGTACCATTTGGGTTTCGCGACTTCCATGAATGTCATTAAGTGCATTCTCTCATTCTCTGCTTCTTCAAGAAGGGCTTTGATCCAACCCCCACTTTGTTCGAAACGCCGAAGCGATTTGAAGTGCATAAGCATCCCTCCAACCATTCCTGGCACCGCTGCAACCGTTTCTAACATCATCGCTCGGCATCCATACCGCCTCTACGTTAAGTCGTTGGCAAAATTAGTCCATACTAAAATCTTCTAAAAATGATAGCTAGCAACCAAATCTTCTAAAACTATTTTCACTATTTTAAGAGTTAGCATTTGGAACCTGGAAGAAGAGATCGGTAGGCCATCGAAGAGATTTAACCATCCAATAAGCTAATTTGTCCGGTAAAGTGGAAGGAACATGGTGCTTCTTCAAATCTATCGTCAGGTCAGCTTTATACGTCTCCCATGGCTAGCATCATTCCCCACACACAAAAATACTTATAAATAGAGCAAGACTATAAGTAACAATACACAAAACATGTAGTGAAAATATGTAATGTACCCGAAAACAAGTCCATTTCCATTCAGTTCCATCTTCTTTGGTGATTTTCATCGGCTTCACGCCCCAATAACTAACGATTAATTGTTCCCATTTGTTACTACCTTGATCATTAGCCTTCTCGCCATCACCAGATCTTTTCTCCTCCTCCAACGTTTTCTTCTTTTCAAATATCATCTTGCTGAAATCTCTCAAGCCTCCCATCGCCGGAGCCCTAAAATTTTCCGCTGGAGCAAGTTGGTGAAATAGAATCGCATTAATGGATGTCGCCGGCTTTGATGCGTCAAGGAGAGATCGACGGAGTAATGTAGTGATCATTTTTCGGATTCAAGGGAGATCTTTTGGATTTTTTTCTTTATAAGGAAAACGTAAAACCCTAAAAGTTTGGGAATGAGGGGTTTAACAAGAACAGTGCGGATGATGTCAAAACTCAAAACATCAACTGAAGATCCAACTAGTTCATTGGGCCTTTAATATAGCCCGCACGCATAGGGCCCATTGGGTCTTCATTTTTTTTTTTTTTTTTTTTTTTTGAATGTAATGTTAAATTAAATTCAAAAGAAAAATATTCGTTTGTACATCGAGTGCAACGTGTAATTTAGAAAGTTTAAGAAAAACAGAATTTCATCAGACTTTGTTTGTAAGATTAACTTCTTGCCCCGAACCATATTTGAAGACCCATATCATATCTTCTGTCTCCGGTTGCTTTGATTGAAGAGAGTTGATTCTTTACTTGCTTATCAATCCATTTGATTAGTCTAACTGGAGGGTTTGGGTCTTCACCATGTCTTCTGCCGTTTCGTTCCCGCCAAAGAGCATGGATCGTTGCTTGGAAAACATAGCGAGCAATGAAACTTACAATTCTGTTCTGCCAATGACCAGAAGTGGAGAGTATCAAATCGTGCCAGTTCGTGGAATATCTCGATCGGTAGATGTTTTTTGCCAAGGCCTGCCATACTTCAGAGGTGAAACTACAGGAGAAAAAGAGATGGTCACGTGATTCAAGAGTGTTGTTGCAGAGAACACAGGCTGTGGAAATTCCTTTGTTCCAATGCATCATTCTGTCACCCGTTGATAGGCGGTTTTGGGCCGCTAACCAAACACAAAAGGAGAATTTTGGCGTAGCGTGAGGAAACCAGACACTTTTGTGCCAAGCGACTTCGTTTGTAACAGTGCGTGTAAGATGCCAAGTGTCTTTAGTGGAGAAACTTGGGTCTTCATTTTAGAGTCTTATAGAGATGGTATTTTTAATGCCAAAGCATAGAGCAAGATAGTTTCTGACTGTGGTGTGTTGATTTCTTTGTCTTAAGTCTCTAATTCATGCTTCATGTGCAGCTCTATATTTTCTTCCCCGATGAGGCGAAAGTTAGAGTTAAGATGATGAAGATGTACACGAACCGGATGAAAACAGAGTATGTTTACAGAGCAAATTTTGGTGGCGCAACAGAACTTGACCAGTGAGATCTCTTCAAAGTTTCATTTGGAAGTTTTCCATGTAAAAAAACATGTTCTTGTTCCTTAGCATCAAGTTCTTATAAAACTGAGAGAAGAAATGTTTTGATTGTATGAGCTTGGGGATTGGATTTGGAATTGAACGCTTAGACTTATGAAACATAAGAGTAATGCTTTTGTCCCAAAAATGATTATGACTTGAGCACAAAAGGAAAAGCACAAACTTAGAACTCTTTAGTATATATTAACATATGAGATATAGTATATAGCATAAGTTTCCTTTTGCTTATCTTATGTATTAATCTCAAAGTCTATATATAGACTAATTGTACATACATTTGGATTTAATGAGAATTTCAGTTTAATTCAATATGTTAACATGGTATCAGAGCAATTTTAATTCTCTCTCATTCTTTTCTCGGGAAAATTTCTAACAGAACATTTTCCGAGAAAATTTCATCTTCTTCATCAAATCTCTTTGATTCTTCTTCGATCTTCATCGTTTCTTCATCCGATCATCGTTATCTTCCATCGTTCTTCATATTATCAGCTCGGTGTGTGTATACAGCCACCGAATCATCTCTTTTCACTTTCGATTTCATTATCAAGAATCGAAATTTTTCTTCCGCCATTTTCATCTCTTCTTTGAACTCATATCAATTCGAGCTTCACTTTCATTCATTATCATCACAAATATCTCATTCTTTCTGATTTCTTGAAGTATACCATGTCGACGAGTGAATCTTCCCGTCAATCAATTGATCAATACAATAATCCGTTCTTTCTTCACAATACTGATCATGCCGGATTGGTGTTAGTCTCTGATCGTCTTTCTACCGGAGCTGATTTCCATGCCTGGCGACGTTCGATGCGTATGGCTCTTAATGTCAGGAACAAGCTTGGATTCATAGACGGTACAATTACTAAACCATCTCCGGAACATAGAGATTTTGGATCTTGGTCACGATGCAACGATATGGTTGCAACCTGGTTAATGAATTCAGTATCGAAAAAGATAGGCCAGAGTTTACTTTTTATCTCTACTGCTGAAGGTATCTGGCAAAATCTTATGTCAAGGTTTAAACAAGATGATGCTCCAAGAGTTTATGAAATTGAGCAAAAATTGAGTTCTATTCAACAGGGATCTTTAGATGTAAGTGCCTATTACACAGAACTGGTAACATTGTGGGAAGAATATAAAAATTATGTTGAGTTACCAGTGTGTACTTGCGGCAAATGTGAGTGTAATGCAGCTGTGTTGTGGGAGAGATTACAACACAGGAGCAGGGTAACCAAATTCTTGATGGGATTAAATGATTCATTTGAGTCTACAAGACGTCACATTCTGATGTTGAAGCCGATTCCAACGATTGAGGATGCTTTTAACTTGGTGACTCAAGATGAGCGTCAGAAGAATATCAAGCCTCATGCTAAGTCTGAGGGTGTAGTCTTCCAAACATCAGGACCTCCTATTCCTGTTAATCCTGATATGAGTGTTTACAATGGATTTCAGGAGAATTATGCTTATGCAATGCAAGGTGGATATCGTCCTAGACAGCCAAGGCCTATGTGTACTCATTGTGGCCAAACAGGACATGTAGTACAGAAGTGTTTTAAGCTTCATGGCTATCCCCCAGGATATATACCAGGGTTTAAGAGTATCTCTGCTGGCTATCATTCCCAGAGACCAGCTACTCCAATGCCTGCTCAATCCTATCAGTCTAGGGGACCAGTTCAACAGAACCAGAGGCCTCACACTGTTGCTCATGAATATGCCTTATATGGCACCACCTGCAATCAGTCCTATGAATTTGGATGTTAGCACGATGAGTTCTGATCAGATTCAGACTTTATTACAACAACTCACTGGTCATGTTAAAAATTCAGTTCCGGAGACTTCAGTCCCTTCCCCATCAGTCTCTTCCATTACAAATCATGGTGCTATGGCTATTCAAACTGTACCTGTTTCAACTGTCACTGCTAATGGTGCTATGGATATACAATCTTCTTCTGGTATTATCTCATTTCCTTCATCTTCACTTCGTTTTGAAAACAACAAACTCACTTTTCAACATCAGTGTTTATCAACTTTATATACAAATCTTCCTCATGGTTCTTGGATCATTGACAGTGGAGCTACTACCCATGTTTGTTCTGATCTAGGATTGTTCAATGAAACTGAAATAGTTTCTGGAGTAAAAGTCTCCTTACCAAATGACACTAGGGTAGACATCACACACACTGGCACTATCCATCTATCATCATCTCTTGCATTACATGATGTGTTACATGTACCATCATTTAAATTCAATCTTATCTCTGTTTCAAGTTTATTAAAATCAAGTAATTGTTCAGCACATTTCTTTCCTGATTCATGTTTTATTCAGGAGTATATTCAGGGCTTGACGATTGGTAGAGGCATTTTACTTCACTATCTCTACATTTTACAACTTGAACATCCATCATCTACATCATTCTTCTCTGGATCCTTGATGGTTGATGGTGATCTTTGGCACAGGCGCCTTGGACATCCATCATCTGACAAGTTAAAGCATATTCCGGGTATATTGTCTAAAACTAGTTTTTCAAATTCTCCTTGTAGTGTCTGTCCTTTAGCTAAACAAAAACGTTTGTCATTTGAGTCTAATAATAGATTGTCAGCTTTACCATTTGATTTAGTTCATATGGATGTCTGGGGTCCATTTTCAATCGAGTCTGTTGAAGGATATAAGTACTTTTTCACTTTAGTAGATGATTGTACTCGTGTTACATGGATATATCTTATGAGAAATAAAAGTGAAGTTACTGGTCATTTTAAAGCTTTTATTCAGCATGTTTCTACTCAATACAACAATATCATAAAAGCTATTAGAACTGATAATGCTCCTGAACTTGCATTTACTGAGATTGTTAAAAATCATGGTATGCTTCATCAATTCTCTTGTGCATATACACCACAACAAAATTCTGTTGTTGAAAGAAAGCATCAACACTTATTGAATGTTGCAAGGGCTTTACTGTTTCAGTCTAATCTTCCTTTAGCTTATTGGAGTGACTGCATCTTGACTTCTGTTTTTCTGATCAATAGGACACCATCTCTGTTATTAGAAAATAAATCACCATATGAAATGTTAACAAAGAAGCAACCTGATTACTCTTTTATTCGCACTTTTGGATGTCTGTGTTATGTTTCTACTCTTCAAAAGGATAGACATAAGTTTAGTGCTAGAGCTGATAAATGTGTGTTTTTAGGCTTTGCTTCTGGTTACAAAGGCTATAAAATGTTGCATTTAGAAAATAACATCATCTCTGTATCGAGAAATGTGATTTTCCATGAAAATACATTTCCATTCCATGACATCACAGTTTCAAATCCACCAGATATTTTCAATAAAAACATTTTACCTTTACCAGTTCCTGTTATTCTTGATTCTTTTATTGATTCATCACATAACATTTCTACTCCACATCATACTATACCATCTCATGCATCATCTTCATCACATTCTACACCTAGTGTCCCATCTACATCACAAGAGATTGTTACAACAGAAAGTACTACTGTTTCATTGCCCAATGCTAGGCCAAAACGATCTGCAAAGGTACCCACTTATCTATCTGATTACCACTGTTCTTTCACCAAAATTTCTGAACCATCTACACAAATTTCTCCACCAGCCACTTCCATCACTTCTTCAAAAGTATGTACCACTCCTTACCCTTTATCAAAATATCTCTCTTACTCCCTTTTCAATGAACCATATCAGTCTATAGTACTTTCATATTCTCTTGAAACAGAACCTACCAATTTTAAACAAGCTATAGCATCACTGCAATGGACTAAAGCTATGGATGTGGAACTTGAGGCTATGGAATTGAATAAAACATGGAGTGTTGTAGAACTACCACAAGGGAAAAATGTTGTTGGTTGCAAATGGGTCTATACTATAAAGTATAAGGCTGATGGTACTATAGAAAGATATAAGGCCAGATTGGTTGCTAAAGGGTTTACTCAACAGGAAGGAATAGATTATTTTGTTTTCTCCTGTGGCTAAACTTGCAAGTATAAAGCTAATTCTGGGTCTTGCAGCTAACAAGGGTTGGTGCTTAACCCAAATGGATGTTACCAATGCTTTTTTGCATAGTGAATTGGAAGAGGAGATATATATGAGCTTACCACAGGGATATACTCCAAGCTCAGGAACTTTGCCGCCTAATGCAGTGTGCAAACTACATAAGTCCATTTATGGATTAAAACAAGCAAGTCGGCAATGGTATAAATGCTTCTCAACAGTTCTTTTATCTGATGGTTTCATCCAGTCTCTTGTGGATAACACGATGTTTGTTAAAGTCAAAGGTATGACTTTCATTGCTCTACTGGTGTATGTAGACGATATTCTTATTGCTAGCAATAATGAAGCTGCAGTAAGTGATTTGAAAAGAGTATTGGCTCAGCAGTTTAAGACTAAGGATCTTGGACCAGTCAAGTTTTTCTTAGGTCTTGAAGTTGCTAGAAACTCAGATGGTATTTCAGTTTCCCAGAGAAAGTATTGTTTGGATCTGTTAAAAGATGCAGGTTATGTTGAGTGCAAACCAAGGTCTGTTCCTATGGATCCTAAAGTCAATCTTACTAAGGAGACGGGTGTTCTCTTACAAGATGGAAGACCTTACAAAGAACTAGTGGGGAGACTGCTTTATCTTACTCTAACCAGACCAGATATCACATTTGCTGTCAACCGGTTGAGTCAGTTTCTCTCTTGTCCTACAGATGCACATCTCCAAGCAGTGTACAATGTGCTCAAGTATCTTAAAGCAAATCCGGGCCAAGGTTTGTTCTACTCTGTTAATACAGAACTTTGTCTCAATGGATTTTCAGATGCTGATTGGGGTACGTGCTTAGACACAAGAAGATCTGTTACCGGTATATGTGTGTTCTTAGGAACTTCTTTGATCTCTTGGAAATCAAAGAAACAACAGGTTGCAAGCAGTAGTAGCACTGAAGCTGAATACAGAGCCATGGCCATGGCTTCTGATGAAATGGTATGGCTTAATCAATTGTTAAAGAGTCTCCATATCTTTGTGACTTCTCAGGCTAAGCTCTTCACTGATAACAAGTCAGCAATGCACATTGCTAATAATCCGGTATTTCACGAGAGAATAAAACATATGGAGATAGATTGCCATAGAACCAGAGATCGGATCAAAGAGGGTTTACTAAAAGTTTTTCATGTTACAACCAATAATCAGTTGGCAGATATCTTGACAAAGCCTCTTCATCCAGGGCCTTTTCATTCTGTACTTGGCCGTATGTCAGTTTCAAGTCTCTTCACTTCACAAGAGGATTCTGTTGTAGAGACTTGAGGGGGGCTATTAACATATGAGATATAGTATATAGCATAAGTTTCCTTTTGCTTATCTTATGTATTAATCTCAAAGTCTATATATAGACTAATTGTACATACATTTGGATTTAATGAGAATTTCAGTTTAATTCAATATGTTAACAGTATATTTTATATTAACGGCGTTGTATAAACACCGACTCCAAATCTGAAGGAGGCACAAAGAACTCTATACCGATATTGCTACGACATTTCAACGCCGGTTGGCGTTTCCTTGGAGCTGCTGGACATTTCAGTTTCTCTGGCGCTTCTGCTCCTCTCCCCGTTGGAGTGATACAAATATCATCATCTTCTTCAGCTTTTGATTCTCTCTCTGGCCTTTTGAGTTTCGTCTTCACCGGCTTCAGTGAAGCCCGAATCGAAACTGTGGCGAAGACAAACTTTTTTCCCTCGGTGTCGAATCCTCTGCTAACTTGAGATTTCTTCGAAATTCCCATTTTTTTTAAAAAGGAAATTGGATCAGTTAGAGATTGAGACTCGTACAATGTTTTGGAGAAGAGGAAATAAGACAAAAAAAAAAACAGATGTTTTTTCAATTGGAGGAAGAAGGAATAAGTGGTAAGTAGGCGAAAGAGTTTCTTCTTCCTAAAGAAAATTGTTTTGCCTTTGCAGTTTGGTTGCTTCCCCAGGAATTAATAGAGAACGAAGCTTTCAGAGGAAGATTATTAGGTGGAAGTAGAGCAAAGGGTATAACTGGAAATTTTGATAATGTGTTTTCTGCCCGGGAAAGCTACGGGTAGTCTCTTAAGATCTTTCCTTTTAATATTTGGCGCCATGTTTTGAGAATATTTTAACCGAAAAATATTTGGTTTGATTTGACTCAGTAATCGATTTTAGAAGCATTTTGATATGTATTTAATGAATTTTGGTATAATTCAGTTTACTTTGATAAACTTAAATTCTATAAAAATGACATCACATTTCTTTTAATGATAGAAATTAATCAGTTAACATACTAAATAATACTATTTTATTTTTCAACTAATGAAGTTTAAATAATTCAAATGGTTTTTAGTAGGCCTGTAAACGGAGTGGATATCCGGTTTTTTAAGATATATGTATTCGTATCCATATCCGTATTATCCGCCAATTTAGTATCCGTATCCGGATCCGGAAATTCCAGATATCCGGTATCCGAATATTCGTTAAAAATCCGGATATCCGCGGATATCTGCGAATATCCGGAAATAGTGTCTTAAAATCTTAAATTCATTAATATCATACATAAAAAGCTTAATTTTTTTTTAAATAGCTAGAAGTTGATTATATATACAAAACAATACAAAAACAAAGAATTTATTAAAGTAACAAAAAGTTTAAAAGATTCAAGTGATGTTCTTAAAAAAGAGAGACATTAATCAAGTTCTTAAATTCTTCTTTGAAATTTATTTTTATTTTTTGGCATATGATTTATTTATTTATTTATTTTTTATTATTTTTTTATGACTAGGAGGTTCTGAACCCGTAGGCCCGTACATCCCCTCAGGGCGAGGCCCAAACCATGTAATATAACTCTCCTTTGGAGAGCAGACCCCTCCCAACGTGAATCGAACCCATGACCTCCAAGGTCCCTACATTATCAGTAACCAACGGGCTTAACCACTAGGCCAACTCATCGTTGGTAAATAAACATTGCAAATAAAATAAAAACAATTAAAAAAGTTGCGCTTACAAGTTTTGTTGGGCTTTAACACTTGAAAAATTGAATCATAAGGCTTTCAAGTTATAGAATTTATTTTTTTTGCCGGATATCTGTTATCCAGCCTAAATTTTAGGATTATCCGTATCTGTATCCGTATCCTAAATATCCGTTATTTTACTATCCGTAAACCGAATATCCGTTTTTTCGAATCAAAAACTGGATACGGATACGGATATCCGTGGATAACGGATATAAATGTGAGGCCTACTTTTTTGACTCTTTAGCTGGATAATTATTTCTTTTGTTGTAATCTCAAGAACTTAAAAAATAAATAGAAGCTCGTAGACTCATTTGATCCATTACCAAATGGGCCATCACATTTGGGCCTTATAAAAAATGAAAAAATGATCTTTGAAGATAAATTTTAAAAGTCTTTCTCTATTCCTCACTGCATAAGAAAGAGGACAAAAACATTTTCAGATTTTGGGGAAAAATTAATTTTCCCGCGTCAAATGAGAAACCACACCGCCCAAAAATCCAGTATCCCGCCGGATTCAGATGATAAACTTTTTCTCCACCGGCAAATATCAAACCATAAACTCATTTCTCTCCGCTGCTTCTCTCTTCTCTTCTCTCTCTCCCCTTCGATTGCCGCAGAGACTCTCCGATGGAATCCTCCAGATCTAGATCCGTCTTCGCCAACATCGGACTCAGAGAGCTCAACGGATTTCGAGGTATTTACATACAAATTCAAGCTACTGTATATATGAATTTCAGCTTCTTCAGATTATTCTTATTGAACTCTTTTTTGTTCCTTGGTTCCAGTACGGAAGCGACCGTTCTTCGCAGATTCCGAGCTCATTTGCAGAGAAATCGCCGGCGTGGCGGTGGAACACGACGGGATTCGAACCCCGCCGTTGGCCGTTTCCTTTTGTAAGGTATAGTCCAAATTTGGCTAGCTCTAATCCTAGATCCAATCTCAACGCTCGATGAAATCTTCTGATTCTGTTGTGGATATTTAAGTAGATATACAGAAATCTAAACCCCAGTTTTGGTCGTTTGTGATTTAGGATTAACGATAATGTTATAAAACGTACAGACTAGCCGGAATTCTCAATTATTCGCGGTATCTGATGAAGACGGCCATGTGAGCTTGTTTAATTCCAGTAAGAAGTTTGCCTCTTCTGCAACTCACCAAGAGAATACAGGTATCGTCTCGTCCCTGTTAGAACCCTAATTCACTGTAAGTTCGAATCGAATACTGATTTGTGTTTGTTTCAAATGTGTAGAGAATGCTAGATTTCGTGATTGGATTGCTCATTATAACGCGATATTCGACATTTCTTGGATCAAGGTACGTTTGATTCGTGAATGTTTTCGGTGAATTAAGTGAAGCTCATTTGATGTTTACTTTTTGCAAATTTGTTGCAGAGAGATAGTTGTCTTCTAACTGCTTCTGGTGATCAAACTGTAAGTGGTGACTCAAATATTTTGATTGAGTAGTTTGTGAGGACAAATTTGTGATATTGACATTTGTAGACTGCTTGAATGCAGATTAAAGTGTGGGATGTAGAGGAGAATAAGTGTACTGGAGTTCTTATAGGACATACAGGAACTGTAAAATCAATGTGTTCACATCCAACGAATTCTGGTTTGTGTTGAGAATACATCTGTTCATGTTTAACTTATTTATGTTTTTGGTCAAGATGGCTCTAACTCTTGCTGCTTGTAGATCTTCTTGTATCTGGTTCGAGAGATGGATGTTTTGCTTTGTGGGATTTAAGATGTAAAAGTAGCTCTCACAAAGAGGAATTTTGTATCAAGTAAGTCCTAAACTTAGTTGTGATGATCTTTTTCGGTTTTTATTCCCGTTGCAATCATCCTGATAGTTTTACTGGCCTTCACAGCTCCACTGGCATGGTTAAAGGAGCTCATCTATCCCCTCTTTCAAAACGAATCAGACGTCGCAAGGTTTAATTCCTGCTCATTTGTGACCCTTCCCTTCTAATCTATTTTCCTATCTTCTCTGCTCATGGCTTCATGTTTTCAGGCTGCTTCGTCAAGCATTACCTCTGTGCTTTATCTCAAGGACGAGATCACAATTGCTACTGCTGGAGCTCCAGATAGGTACTTAAAACAACATTTATTGGGTTCATGTAAAGGTAGTCCAACTCCTTAAAACATATAGAAATGTTGTTAACTTCCTTTGTTTTTTTCTTCTGCCATTATTTTAGTGCCTTGAAATTTTGGGATACAAGGAAGCTGAAAGCTCCTTTTGCTCAAGCCTCTCCACAGTCAGACCCAACAAACACAAAGGTAAGCTAAGCTGCCTTTTTCTAGACTGATATAATCTCCATGTTTGTTCTGAATGGGTTTTAAGTGAATAGCTTAACCCTCATTCTGTGTCTGAAGGGATGATGAATAAGGCTAATCTGTATCCTGGTTTTTTGAATTTGTTCAGGAAAAGAGATCACATGGTATAGTATCCTTGTCCCAGGACTCAAGTGGAACCTTTCTCACAGCATCATGCAAGGACAATAGGTTAGACTTTTAAGATTCATACTTTATAACTTTTCTTAGTGAGATAATCCTCGTCAAACAGTCCATCTATTTACTCTCTTTGCAGAATCTATCTATACAACACCCTGCGGCTTGACAAAGGACCTGTACAATCTTTCTCTGGCTGCCGAATAGATTCTTTTTTCGTAAGGGTAATGCCTCATTCACAATCTTCCCTTCGATCACACCATTGATTTGCTTTTATAACAATTTTCACCTGTTCACTCACTATCTAAATCTTGCTCTGCAGACAATGATTAGTCCTGATGGTGAGTATGTTTTGAGTGGTTCAAGCGATGGAAACGCTTACATATGGCAGGTTTGGATTCTGTTTCTCAGTTTGACATTCTCTTTATCAAAAGATTCAAGAGTTATCTAAATGCTCAAAACACCATTGCAATTTCAGGTCAATAAACCTCAAGTAGATCCTATAATCTTGAAAGGCCATGACTTTGAAGTTACTGCAGTAGATTGGTAACTCCACTTCACCAACTCTTATTCTTTCTTCACTGCATCCAACTAGCACACAAGTCGATTCGATGATACATAACTAAACTGGTGTCAAATCTATTGTGCAGGTCTCCATCGGAGATTGGGAAAGTTGCAACGGCTTCAGATGATTTCACGGTAACAAGACATTTCATATATGTTGATACAAGCAAAAGGTCTTTGCCTTTTACTGATTTCATGGCTGTTCATAATTAGGTACGACTATGGAACATAGAGAACAACCGCTGCACAAACACAAACGCAACAGCGTCTGTGTCTAGAGTCAAACGCAGAGTAACCGCATTTTCAAACACTGAAGCCAAAGAAAGACTAGAGATGAACAGAGAAACTGAGAGTCCCCAAAAGCATTCATCATTATTAGATGATGATTATATTAATAATGATCAGTCAACGCCTATCATTAGAACTCCAGAGTCTCAGAAGAAAACATCATCATCATCATCATCATCATTGTCATCATTATCATCATTATCATCATTATCATCATCAGAAGAAGATATAATGTGCGAGAGAACACCAGAAACCACATTCAACAGTCCATCCTCTGTACTAAATCCTCCTTCCTCAGTCAAAAGGCGAACCATTAGAGATTATTTTCTTGTCACTCCCTAAACTCTAATCTCTTGTTCGGAGTTTTTTGTATAGAAATTGTAAGCCTTATTAGATTCGGGTTGATATCTGAAAGTTTTGTATAAAGAATGAAGTAAATCAGAAACTATTAATTCAGACAATTATTTTACCATTTGTTAATGCTTTTAGCATCCATCTAAAGTCAACAAACTCAATTACGGTTAGATTAGATAGAGAAATTAGGTAAATGTTCTAAAACTACGCACTAGACGGGTGCATATACGGCATATGGTAAACCACTGTACCGT